AAAAGAGACTGAAGGGAGAGGGTGAACAGCCGGAGGTTATGGTACATATTGGTATTAATGACGTGGGTAGGATGAGAGACAAAGTCCTGCAGCAGCAGTTCATGGAGTTAGGTAGAAAATTAAAGAGCAGGACCTCCAAGGTTGTAACCTCCGGATTACTCCCTGTGCCACGTGCCAGTGAGGCTAGAAACAGGAGGATAGTACAGCTCAACACGTGGCTATACAGATGGCATAGGAGGGAGGGTTTCAGTTATCAGGACCATTGGGATCTCTTCCAGGGCAGGTGGGGCCTGCACAAGAAGGACGGGTTGCATCTAAACTGAAGGGGCACAAATATTCTGGCTGGGAGGTTTACTGGTGTCACTACAGAGGATTTAAACGGGGGGGGGGGGGGGGGGGGGGGGGGGGGGGAAACCAAAGCAAAGGTGAGTGGGCTGAAAGGTAACTAGAGAATAGGGCTGGTAAGACTCAGGAAGAGCAAGCAGGGTGTGGTTGCTGATCAAAGCGGATCTGGTGGACTGAAGTGCATCTGTTTCAATGCAAGAAGTGTAACCAGTAAGGCACATGAACTTACAGCTTGGATTAGTACTTGGAACAATGATGTCGTTGCTATTACAGAGACTTGGTTAAGGGAGGGACATGATTGGCAACTTAATGTTCCAGGATACAGCTGTTTCAGGCAGGATAGAGGGGGATATAAAAGGGGTGGGGGAGTTGCACTACTTTTTAAGGAGAATATCACAGCTGTACTGCGGGAGGACACCTAGGAGGGCTCATACCGCAAGGTAATATAGGTAGATCTCAGGAACTGGAAGGGTGCAATCACAATGTTTGGGGTTTACTATAGGCCTCCCAACAGCCAGAGGGAGATAGAAGAACAGATATGTAGGCAGATTTTGGCAAGATGTAAAAGTAACAGGCTTGTTGTCGTGGGTGATTTTAACTTCCTATATATTGACTGGGACTCACTTAGTGCTTGGGGCTCAGATGGGGCAGAGTTTGTAAGGAGCATCCAGGAGGGCTTCTTGAAACAGTACGTAGGTAGTCCAACTAGGAAAGGGGCCATACTGGACCTAGTATTGGAGAGTGAGCCTGGCCAATTGGTCGACATTCAGTAGAGGTGCAGCTCGGGAACAGTGATCACAATTCAGTAAGCTTTAAGGGACTGATGGATAAAGGTTGGTGTAGTTGTCAGGTAAAGGTGCTAAATTGGGAAAGGCTAATTATAACAATATTAGGCAGGAACTGAAGAATATAGATTGGAGGCAGATGTTTGAGGGCAAATCAACATCTGGTATGTTGGCCCACTCAAGGACAGGGAAGGGAATTTATGTGTGGGGCCAGAGGAAGTGGGCGAAGTATTAAACAAAAACATTGCATCAGTATTCACCATAGCGAAGGACTTGCTGGATGATGAGTCTGGGAAAGGGGGTGTAGATAGTTTGGATCATGTTGAGATCAAAAGGGAAGAGATATTGGGGGTCTTGAAACACATTAAAGGTAGGCAAATCCCCAATGCCTGACGGGATATACCCCAGAATACTGAGAGAGGCAAGGGAGGAAATTGCTGGGGCCTTGAGGGAAATCTTTGTATCCTCACTGGCTACAGGGAAGGTCCCAGAGATTGGAGAATAGCCAATGTTGTTCCATTGTTTGAGAAGGGCAGCAAGGATAATCCAGCTAATTACAGGCTTTACGTCAGCGGTAGGGAAATTATTGGAGAGGATTCTTTGAGACAGGATTTACTCCCACCTGGAAATCAGTGGGCGTATTAGCGAGGGGCAACATGGTTTTGTGAAGGGGAGGTCGTGTCTCACTAACTTGGTTGAGTTTTTTGAGGAAATATCGAAGATGATCGATGAAGGTAGGGCAGTGGATGTTATCTACATGGACTTCAGGAAGGCCTTTGACCAGGTCCCTCATTGCAGGTTGATACAGAAGATCAGGGTCAGAGGTGCGCCTGCAAGATGGATAAGAAACTGGCTCGGTCATAGAAGAATTAGGGCAGCAATGGAAGGGTGCATTTCTGAATGGAGGGCTATGACTAGTGATGTTCCTCAGGGATCAGTGTTGGGACCTTTGCTGTTTGTAATATATAAAAAATGATTTGGAGGAGAATGTAACTGGCCTGATTAGTAAGTTTGCTGATGACAAAGGTTGGTGGAATTGCGGATAGCGAGGAGGACCGTCAAAGGATACGGCTAGATATAGAGCGGTTGGTGACTTGGAGAGAGATGGCAGATGGAGTTTAATCTGGAAAAATGTGAGGCAATGCATTTTGGAAGGTCTAATCCAGATGGAAAATATACAGTAAGTGGCAGAACCCTTAAGAGTACTGATAGGCAGAGGGATCTGGGTGTACAGGGACACAGGTCACCGCAAGTGACAACGCAGGTGGAAAAGGTAGTCAACAAAGCATATGGCATGCTTGCCTTCATCAGCCGGGGCACGGAGTTTAAAAATTGGCAGGTAATGTTGCAGCTTTATAGAAGCTTAGTTAGGCCGCATTCGGAATACTGTGTTCAATTCTGGTCGCCACACTACCAGAAGGATGTGGTGGCTTTGGACAGGGTACAGAAAAGATTTACCAGGATGTTGCCTGGTATGGAGGGCATTAGCTATGAAAAAAGGTTGGAGAAACTTGGGTGGTCCTCACTGGAACAACAGAGATTGATAGAGGTCTACATGTTTGTGAAGGGCATGGACAGACTGGACAGTCAGAAGCTTTTTCCCAGGGTGGAAGAGTCAGTTACCAGGGGCCGTGAGTTTAAGGTGCGAGGGGCAAGGTTTAAAAGGTGATGCACGAGGCAATTTTTTTATTTTTTGAAAAACACAGAGGGTGGTGGGTGCCTGGAACTCGCTGCCGGGGGGAGGTAGTGGAAGCAGATACTATAGTGACTTTTAAAGGGCGTCTTGACAAATACACGCATAGGATGGGAATAGAGGCATACGGTCCCCGGAAGGCGTAGGGGGCTTTAGTTGTGATGGGCAGCATGTCGGTGCAGGCTTGGAGGGCTGAAGGGCCTGTTCCTGTACTATAATTTACATTGTTCTAGGTGATCATTACTGGGTTGTGATAGGTCTTTGATGTTGAATAGATAAAAGGGAGCCAGTGGATGTAATCTATTCGAGTTTGCAAAAGACATTTGATAAGGTAGCACACATTAGGATGTCTAGAAAGCTTTCAAAGCTGGATCATTAATATTTAAGGCTTTGAGACAGATTTTTAATTCAAGTGATCAAGGGTTATGGGTGGGGAAAAAAAAGGTAGGAAAATGGCTCAAGGATCATCAGATCAGTCAATACCTCATCAAATGGCAGAGCATGTTTGATGGACCAATGGCCTACTCCTGCTACTGTACCTTATGGCGTAACTTGACAAATCTTTTGATTGGCTTAAATAAGCAAAGTTGGAATAATGGGGTCACTTTTGTAAAAACATTATACAAGTCAAACTATGAAAAAGATATGGGATACTCTGGAATGTTATTGTGCAAAATAATTTTAGATCTCCTCTTAGGTTACAGGGTGATATTGAACCAGTCAATTACCTCACCATTTGTTTCAACATGGTATCAAACTGACACTTCTCAAATTTTGCTACTTTTTTAAATAATGAAACTCGTTCATCTCTTACAAGTTAGCATCCAAGTGTGAAAGCCAGTCACAAAATACAGTATATTAGAGGGCCCAATTTCCAAAGTATAAGCCTTTTTTTTTGAAAGAGATCTGATTTGTCACATTAGATTATCATAGAACTGACGCTACTCGTCAGAAAAAAACAATGACAAACACTTATGCAATTACCCCAAAATGACTTTGCTGCACACTAATGAAACTTATTTATTTTGTAAACAGAAGTACTTTTGTTCTTGGAATTTTCTGATGTGAACAACATAGCCAAAATTGTTCAAAACATTCTCACCTCTCAATCTTGAAGATCTCCCCAAGAAAGGGCCATTAGACAGATAGAAAAAGTGTATGTTTTAGACTGCATTTAATTGCACTTGCCCATAAATGTTATGGTTCAGCTGAATAAAGTATATCTTCAGGAGACCATTTGTGTCGTTACCTGAGCTGGAAAGCTGTGTTTGAACTGTCCACGCTGCTGCCAGAGACCAGGGCTTAAAATCAGAATAACTAGAGAGGCCTTAAAATTCAAAATTTGAACTAAACTCACTTCCCTAAATTTCAAATCTACATTCACTCACCTCACTCTCAAAAACTTCATCATCGGTTAGCAGCTGAAATTGGCCATCTTCATTTTCCTCATCCTCTTCCCTAAAGAGATTTAAAAGGCCAAAGAAAATGAAGCACTCAATTTAACAGCAATATCGAACCCCACATTGAAAAGGGCTCCTGATCTAGACAACACAGGGATCAGATAAAGGCTTTAAAGTTTTCTCTTACTTGTCTGTTGGAAAAGAGCCTGAGCAAAGTGCAAGCACCTCAGTCATAAGATCATCTGATGCTGTGGTCACGGTTTTTTGTTCCTTTGCTGCAGAAGTGATGGAAGATGAAGATTCTGCTATTGAGAAGCAAGAAAGATATTTTCCATTAATGCCACCTCAGTGGGACTAGAAAATGGTGTTTCAAATTTGTATCTGCCTAGTTCACATTGTGAAATAAGGATAAACACTGGAATACTATATGCTTTAAATTAGAACATCAATTTCTTGTCCCTCTCAAAACACATGGAAAGATCACTATTTAAATTTTAAAAAAAAAACAAAAAAAAGAAGTACCTGGAGATAGAAACTTGCCAGAGCAAAGTTCAAGCAACTCATCAAAATTTTGCTCTTTTTCTTTGCTCTTTTCCTTGGGTGTATCAGGATTTTGAGATTTAAACTCTCCGGAACAATAACCCAGCAACTCGCCCATGTTTGCGTCCATTGCATTTTCATCCATACTATCCAGAAGCAGTTGACGTTTTGACAGCTGCCACTTGTTAATGCGATGGCCCACATTCAAAAATCTACAATTTAAAAAGGTTTAAGTTTACTTAGAAGTTGCACTACTTCTCTATTCAATTATTATTTTGAAGATTTAAAATGCACAATGTTCCGTGCATGTACAGAAAAGTAAAATGGAAAATATACTCAGTATGGTTTAATTCACGGCAAGGAACACTTTAAAGTGGCTGAACATTTATTTTGGGAAAGCAACTTGAAGTGGTATGGAATAGAAAAGGCTTAAAGTACTCCGACATTGCTGTTTCAGCACAGACAGAAAGTTACAACTTTGGTAAACGTGAAAGGTAGTGTTAAACATAATTTAAGATTCAGAGCACAAATTAATGCTTAGCAACTATAAGGTATTATTCCTATTACCATGGCTGTCTAATGAATACAGAAACTCACCCATCTGAATCAAGTAACTGGCTTTGAGTTTCATCTTCAAGACAGAATCTGAATTGAGATTCACCAGTTGAGTTCTTTGGTTCTGGAGATGTATTGTACAAATCTTGTGAATCTTCTACCGGCATAGAGGGCTCTGATAGCTTTCCAGAACTCTATTGGCAAAGATACACGGACATGTAATATTTTTGACAAATTATACAGTACTTTTCCTGCATAAACAGTGTCTACATCTCCATCTGAAAGAATAGAAGATACTGGTGATGTGGTATTCATTACCATCTTTTGAGCCTAGCAAGTAAAGATTTATGTTGAACTGCATTACCGAAATGCACATTTTTGACAAAAGAGACAAATTCTTAGGGTCGAAATGTCTCTCCAATTACCAACAAACTGATCTTCTATTGGATGAAGAAAAGTTACAAAGGCTCAAGTTTTAAAACGAAAAATATAGCTTATATGTATTTAAATTTCAGAGCAGTTGGCATTCGAGCCAATACTTACACTAAAGCCAGTTCTCTAATCGAAGACATCAACAGCCTGCTCTCAAACTGAAATCTGACAAATTTGAACTTTTGCGATTTAAACTTACCTTGGATGCTGAACTGATGAAGCTTGTTCTGATCTGACTGTTTGGATTAAAGAGGTTGGGCGATGGTGATCTGAATCCTCCCAGCATAGCAACACCAAATCTGCCTGGCTGTTTGTTACATGGTTGGTAGGAGGGAATCATTGACCCAATTAGCTCAAAGCTACTGTTGTGACTGTTCTCCTTGGTTGTTGAGGCTTGGGAGGTGGAATCATCTTCATCTGAAATGTAAATTGTTGTCGACATTGCGTCAAAACTATCCCTGGCTTATGAAAACACCTTGTTCAGTAGTTAGTCACTGTTCTGAGACCAAATTTCTTCTCCTAAATTTATCATAGAGCTACATGAAAATAAGTTTAGTAACCATAAGGTGATTTTTATTTTCAGTCATTGAAGAAACAAGCACTTTGTAATGAAGTAAAATCACCAGGACCAGATTATCTGTATTCCAGCACGAAATAGTAAAATAAATCAATTTGATTAGTGAAATATTAGAGTTAAATCAATATCCGTGCCAAGAAGCAAAATCCATGAATGAAAAAACCAAATCCAGTCTACAATTCAACATCTCCACTTAAAAGTCAGGTTCCATAGAGAGAACCAGGTACCACTGGGTTAACTGCTCCCATTGCCAACAAGTTACCAACGCTGATCATTTATATCCTCACAAATCATCAGTGGCAGGAGGTACCAGAGATAAGTGCAATTTTCAGAACTACAACCTACTAAAAATGTGTTGTTTGCCTACAAGTCAAAATTTGAATTAAAAATAAAGAAACTTTATCAAGTTGAATTCTGCCAGATCAGAAAAGTGGCAAGAAAGATTTTTCTCTGGCATAAACATTATTTTTGATCAACTAGATGGAGAAGAGAACTTTGGTTTACATCTGTTTAAAGTAAATTAATAGCATGCTGCTAATTTCTGAGGCTTTTAGCAACAGGAAGTCATTGAACAGAAATTAAAACTCATTACCAAGTTTGCTATCTCCTTTGGGTGGACTCTGTTGAAGCTGTAGCCTCAATTTGTTGCCAGTAGTCTGTTCGCTGAAAAATAGTATAAATACTAGATCAGTAAAACCAAGAACACTTATAACCTTTAGGCATATAATTCACTCAGTCTCACCAAAACAGCAGCTTTTCCTGACTAAAATTCAGTTAGGCATTCCATTCCAGAAAAACAAAACAACGGAGTGTCAATTCTCCCTACTTGGATAATTGTCACAAATGATTTTGAAGATATTGATTTTGAAGAGGTCTGGCAGAAAGTTTCCATTTCTCAGTCAATGAAATTCAATAAAAGACTCATTGTATAGAACACGATTAATCCAAAGAGCTATATTTGTTTATACTCGGTCACACGAAGGTATTTTTGGGGAAATCGGATTAGCAACAAAATTTAGTCACAATTCAAATAAATTTACCTCCAAATTATTAATTTAAACTAAGGCAGAATTACAATTGTATCTTAAATTAAACAATCCATTTTTATAAGTAATCAAAAATCTAGGATGAATACAAAGCATTTATGAAAGACATGTTTCTAACAAGTTCAAAAATATAAACTTTAGTGTACAGTATAAATCGTGGAGACAAGACACAGATCACCATGGAAACATTTCATACAGTATCACAAAATTATTTGCGATTAATTCTTACAATGCTGATATTAAAATAGCAGGTTCCACTTTAAAAGCTCCACAAAGAGTAACTCCAAAGAATAAACCAAACTGAAAATACGTATGAATTACCTTATTTTACAGGAAGGAGCAGTGTCAGCGTTTAAGGCCTGTGAAAATTCTAAGGCAATAGGTTTTGGTGTTGGTGTCGATGCCTTCTGGGTTAATATGTCTTGATCTGAAATAAAGCATCAGAATGGGGTTAGTGAGACATGCAATTTTTGTTGCACATAGTAAACGAAATAGTTACTGTTGGATGCAGCTGGGAGCTGATATGGTGCCTCCAGACAGATTTTTAAGTTGAGCTTAGTAAATTTAACAGCTTGATAAATAAGCACAGTAATTGGAGTGATCCACTTATTGGAATATAAAATTATAATCATTTAGCAGTTAAGGTCAACAGCAACTGAAATTCAAGTAAATAGAACCTTTCTTGGTTGTGACATCGATATGGCTCTGACTCTGGCTTTTGGAAGCAGTGTAAAGCAAAGTCTCAAGCTTTACCTTGTAAAAAGTCTGGCAGGTAATGGAGGGTCCACAATATCCTCTCAATCTCTTTGATTCTTACTTCAATTACCCAATTCAAAAATAAATTGCTCAGAGGTCTTCAATGTAGAATAATGAACTTTTTGTACATCTATTAGTTAAATACTTCTCTATGGAAGAGAGTACCAAAATCTGCATGAACTGCTATAGAATATGCAAGACACCACAAGATTACCACAAGACAAACTAGACATTCAATGTTTCACACAAGTAAAACAAAACAAAGAAAACACAATCAGATTACTTCCAGTTTTTTCTGAATCTGGAAAACTTGACAGAACAGAATCAGAGAGGATTTAAAAGCTAGCCAGGCTTGAAACACCAATAGTGCTGAAAAGACAGTCGTTTTGCTGAAACCTTTCATCTTGCACTCATGAGTATATCCAAGAAATCTAAATTTGAAACACAGTCATAAACTTATACTACAGAAAAAAAAAAGTGCACCAATTAGTTGGCAAGTTGACTCTGATTAGTTGAGGTATTTCACAGAGAAAGCAACAGAAAGCGTAGACTCCTCAGGCTTCTGGCTAATTCAAAAAGGGTACCACTGAGAAACAAGTGCCAATCTATCCATTCCATTAAAACAGTCGATTTAATACAACAAATAAGCTTCCTTCATTTTTCTCCCCCCACCCCTGAACTTACAATGCTCAATGTGGGCAACTGCACCTCTTCTTCCCCAGGCCCACAAAGCTCCATGGCAAATCTAGGTACTGACACCAGCCATGAAGACCAGAGTAATTCCACCACATATAACATGGAATTTTGTTGAAAATCATACAATTAACAGCAACGTGTAAACATCAAGTATACAAAGAAAAAGGTCATTTTCGTGAACAAGCTGGTTTCTACATGTAGCACAGTGAGAGAGTTCAAAGAATAGATGAAAGTGCCCTTTGACAGGGTTTCACTTACTCTGTGCTGTCTCAGTAGATTGAGTGTCATTGTCTGCTTCCACCCCAGCATCCTCATCACCAAGGAGGAATTCTACAGTCTAAGACAAATGCAAATGCACCAGTGTCATTGCAAACAAAATATATCAAGACATGATAAATGGAGGGCACAAAACAAGCAAAACTTAAAATATGTTTAATCCTCCCATTTATGTATAATTTTCTTTCCAATTGGAGGAAAGTTTACTCTGTCCGTGTTAACTTTAATTTGACGATTCATGCGTTAATCTATTCCAAACAATTCAGAGCGTGCCCAGTCCACGGATTGGAGGTCAAGAGTTCCTCTGGAATGTAGAAAATCTTCTCCTTCAAAATACTTGGCCTTAAAGCAAATGAAACCCTCCAATTGTGTTTCCCACCATAGAGTTACAAAAAAATACAAGAGCTATCTTGTTTAAATGGTAAAATAAATGGGATAGTACAGCTTTTCTCTTATCATTACTTCAGATCTTGTTGCCATACCTCATGGTCATCTTCTTCAGACTCTGTCAGTTCTTCTTCCTCATCTTCTTCATTCTCAAAGCCCTGCTCATTATCAAGCTGGTACAATGCTTGCCGTTTCTGTCGCTCTTCTACACGACGCAATTTCATGGCTTCCTGGAGTTTAGCTTTCAAAACTTGCAGTTTCTCACCTGAACAATGCAATAAAGATACAATTGTAAGAGACAAATAGCTTTTAAACATGCAGCACTTTTTATAAAATGTATATTATCTCCCCCAGAAAACTTGGTTTACCAAAGAAGCCCCTTCTTGTGCTCTTAATTTCAAGATTTTTGGATGACAGAAACTTGCTTGGTGAGTTACTTGACACATGATTATTTTGCCTGCATTCCGATATCCTGCTCTATTTAGTGAAAACTAATGAGAGCAAGATAATACTGGTGCACAGATGAAGATATAATTTCACACACAATGCAACTTTAATTTGACAGAAATATTTTGGTTTTTTTTTATTAAGAGTCAACAAATCCCAGTATAGGCTTTATTTTAAGAAACACAATCTTCATTCTGTTCCCATGTCCTACTCAGTTATTCAGCTTTCTAAGCTAAAAAGGTAGGATCTGCAACCAGATTGGAAGCAAATATATTCAAAACTAAACTCTTAACAGGGGGATCAATTTAAATATTTTATGAATTTCAATCCATTAAGACAAGTTTTACTGATTGCACCAGTCAAAAAACAATGAAAGGGAATTAAATGTAAGTGATTTTTGAGACATTAGTCAATAATAGACTCCATGCAATTCTATTTAGCCACCAAAACCCATTAATGTTTATTACGAAGGGATGAACAAGTAATAGTTGAAGATTTATATGAAAACTCCAAGAAAAATCTCTGCTGCAGATTAATCAGCAACTCTCTCTATTCACTGAAACACTTGCCTGGCTTTGCTGGGCCAAATTCCTCCACTTCTTTTGTGCCCAAGGTTACCACTACCGAATCTGCCTTAAGTTCTTCTTTGCCATTAGCATCGGTCATTTTCCGAATAGTGTTAAGCTCTACACGACGCTCTTGGTTCTGTTTAACAGGCTTGATGCTATGTTTCAGAAAACGCTCTTTTAATGCTTGCAACTCTAAAAATTAAAACAAAAGTCACCTTTACATAGATATTGAAATCTTGTACCAACAGCAAAAAACAAGCTCTTTTGAATTTGTTTTTATTCAGCAAAGATTCACTTGATTAATTTAGCAAAAATACAATTACTCACTCTACACACATGTAAAATTTATAAACTGTAACAATAAAATTACATCTGAAATCTCAAAAGGCATTGTTAAATATAGATTTAAGGCAGATGGCAAAAAACATGTTTTCAAATTCTGGCAAGTTATAATGATCTGGAATGCAAAGTCTAAAAGATTGGTAAACATTATTAGTGAATCGACTGCTATGTCCATTCAGAAACTGATGAATTGAATAGGTCTTTCAAAGGGCTGACACAAGCACAACAAGTCAAATACCATCTTCTACACTACACCAACCAATAATTTTATGAGCAATCTGACATTTTATGTCTCCTTCCTTATAAATCACCTGCATCACTTTACTAACAGGTTTCTTTGAATGGATTCAATAAATTCAGGGCCAATCAATAATTCTAAAATAAATTTTGACAAATAAGTTGTCATTCTTGGCTTTTCTTAAATGATCTAAACTTCTGGCAACACTTTCCAAGTTGCGTTTGCAACCCTTTAAAACTACTACGGCCAAAAGGTGTTCAAAAAATGATCCTGAATGACCGATTCTCTGAACATGCCTTCCTTCTTGGAGGAGGAAAACAACTACACTTACCAATACACTGAAATAAGGAATTTACTAGGTGGGGTATTGGGGCAGGGAGTGGTGGCAGCAGCTCAATGTCTTCAATCACACCGTGGCACGGCTATCCAATGATTATTAGATAGAAAAGAAATGTGAAATGACAGGCCCGAATTTTGTAGCAGTTATGAAGCCAAATGGTCAGGGTTTGCTGTCATTGCTCTGTGAAAAGTGACACCAGCTTAAGTCTCCATTTGTGCAGTTAAATATGGAAATTCAGCTGCTGGAGACATTTTTGGAATATATTTACATGTCATGAGATTTTAGCCTTCAATTCCACTTATTATTATGTCCCATTTATTTATTTCAAAACCGATAAAATATCAAATGAGGAATTTAGTTCATTTTGCTTCCAGGTTTGTAATTTGAAGGAACACGTCAACCTGATGGGTGCCAAATCAATGGATCCCCAGGTGTCCAGTAGGGTAAGAGAGTGAGAGTCAAGCCAACCTCAAAAAGTCAAACACATGCTGCAAAAACTGGTAGTTCATTGGAGGCAGATCTTTCTTTGAGGTCTGGAAAAGGAAAAGTTGTTTTGCTACTAAACATGAAATACAGGCCAAACATTTTTTGTTGCAATGGCTTCCCAAGCACAAAATTCACCTAGACTTAAAATTCCAACACTTTTCAGAAAACATAATATTTAAAAAAAAAGACAACCTTTGTTTTCTTTGGGCTCTTCCAAGTTCACAAATGCACCTTCATCTGCACAAAGGCGAGGTTTTAATGTTAGGTCAACACCTAGCACCCGTAACTTATCCAATTTGCATTTTCGTTGTTTGGCCATTGAAGTAGTTTTCAACTGTTTATGCAGTTCTTCTTTATCTCTTGGTACTTCACTGGAGAGCTTCAGTACAGAATCAGGTACTATTTTATCAACCTTTCCATGAGGATTCTCAGGCAAAATTGTTTGTCCATCGCTGGACCCAGTTTCATCAGTTAGTTCCAAACAGAAAGAGTAACTGTCAGGTTCTGTGCTACGTTCGGCATTTACAGAGTCTTTTCCATTGCTTTCCAAGTCAGTGGAAATATCAGACTGTTCTATTATCTCAACAGGTCCATTGTGCTTTTCCATCTGAATTTCACACTCAGGTGGATTAGGACAAATATTTTCTTTATTATTTGATCTGGTTAAATTGGATTCTTCTACAGCTGAAATATCTGCAGCTGTGACATTTTCATTGTTACACGACTGATCCACGAGTCCATGATCTTGAGGAACAGCATTTATACTTTCAATCTCTGTTGGGATCTTTGAGGTGCCCTGTAGCAAGCAGGATTGATATTTAGCTGATCTGTAAGAAAATTGTGCATAGTCAGCCACAATCCAAATTAACATTTTTAACTCAAAGAAGAAATGTTAATCAGGGATAGTTTGAAATAAAGCACAAATCTATAAAGAATTTTTTTTGCTAATGAATAACACATTACAAGTTGGTCAAGTCCTAAATTTTAGTTATAGCTGCATAACTTCAGAATAGAAATAAAATAGTTTTATCAGGATTGAAACAGTTTGCAGCACATTGTGCAACAAGTTACTTCTACAGCTGTTCTTCCACAGCAGAATTGAGGTGCAGCAAAAATCCTCATGTTTGACATTTCTCTTAATTGTTTCTTTTTGGACAAGCTAAATACAGCAAAGAGCTTTTTGATCCAGTCCTTTGGACAAAAAGGGTCATTTACATTTTATTGCTGTGCTGGAAAAACCAAAAGGCAGCTGTTATTTTGAAATAGTGATTTCGGGACTTGGCAAAGATGGAGAGATCAGTCCGAAAGGTACAATTTACACAAGATTTGAATAATTTGAAACGTTCAAAAGAGATATTAGTTCAGAAATGAAAAGCTCCATTATTTTTCTTGGCAGCATTAGAAGAGAGGGAGGAAAGATTGCACAATCTCAAAAAAATATACTGCATTCTGGTTTCAAATTGCTTTGACATTATAGTTATAAATGTTTTTCCCATCCAAGTTACCTAGTGATGGAGATGAATTAACAAACAATGATTAAATTTTACTCCCACACCCATTTATGTAGCATCGTGCACATCCTTTACAGTCAAATTTCAAATAGCCAGTGAACTTGGATTAGTGCCATTAGGTCTATTAAATTCACCTGAAACAAACAGGACCTTTGTTTTCCATCTCATTTGAAAAGCAATGTCACCAAAAGGGTAGCACATTTTCAGTTTAATACTGAAGTGTCAGATCAGTGCACAAGTATATGGAGCATGACTTGAACACCACGATCTTTTCTGAATCAGAGGTGAGCATGTTATCACTGTGCTAAAATTGACGCATTATGACAGACTTCTGAAACTACAGCATTGAAATCAGAAAATTTTCTAGTAATCATAATTGAAATTTATGAGTCAAGAACTTTTGAGATGCCCAAAGGAAATAACAGCATATAAAAATTTTTGTTTCATTCAATGATCTAATGTACTTAAATTCTTGAAAATGAAAATTAAGCAGCTTGTCAAGAGATAAAAAGAAAGATCCAATATAGATGTTTTGCAAACAAATTAACTGTATAGCTGCAAAGCACATGAACACATCTAGTGGAAAGAATTACTGCACACACTTTTCCCATTTCTTGGATAATCTTAACTGTTTCAGAATGTTGAATTTTTGCAGTGGAATAGGTTAATATACAAAATAGTATTTATTTCAGTACAAATATCATCTATTTAAATAAAAGCTTGGGAAAGTTCAAAGTGATATAGCCATGGAATTGATAATATCCAGATGTGGACCTTAATGCCTTTTTACAATGTAGAGGGCCAAAATGAAGGTTTAGGGCAATCTTGAGCATCTAAAGTAACTTTGCTCAAAAATTTCCCAAAAAGCACAAGTCTCGATAACACAGCTATGAAATTACTAAAAATAAGATGGTAAATGTGGGGAATTGGAGTGTTGCATAAGTGCAGGAGGAGATGTTTCTAATATAGCAGCTTTACTCATACAGGAAAATATCTCTGTAAAGTGCTCTTACTTGATCAATGACATGGCATTTCCTTGGAAAGCTGGTCGTGGTCGTTTCATGAAAAAGTCGTGAATGGTTTTTGGCTGTGGCAGATGATATGGTAGTGACAAACTTGCCTCTGGGAAAAGAAATGGACAATATTACTAACAAGGCACAAAGCTGTCAAAAACTGATATATCACATCAAAATCTTAGCTTCTTCTGCATGGCAATCAATGTTCTGCTTGTTCTTCACTTGACATCTAAATTGAAGGTTCCATGACTCATTAAAAAAAAAACCACTGGTCCCAATCAAGTTTCATTATTTCATCAACTATTTCCCACAACAATAGTTAAACACCAGCAAAAAGAAGACGAAAGGAAAGATTATGGCTGGTCTCATACATCGATGAAGAACATAAACATTCTTTCCAACTGCTTAAAAAGAAAAGATTACACAGCACGTATGTTGGGAACAATGAAAATATCAGAAACAGTATAGTTGCCATCTCAACTAAACTACTGCGATAACTCTCAGGGCGGAGAGAGAGATAGATTGTGTTGGAATGTATTAAAAAAGTTAATATTGAACTAAAATAGCATGGTAATCCTGCCAATTCATAATCCTTGTTGCGGTTGCCTTAGAATACTGTGTCAAGTTCTGATGATCTCTGCAGAGACTACACCACAATGTTGAAGGGACCAGATAGCACAAGGCTCAGGTGCTTCATTACGTGGTGTGATTAACTGTCTATTTTTTCATCACAAAAGAGAAAGCTCAAAAGCAATAAGATTTTATTTTCCTTCTGGAATCCTGAAAACAGCAACGTAGACCATGATAAACTGCTTCAACTTGTTCAGGAATGCAACCTTGGCCAGAGCTTGTGATTAAAGAGGCTATATTAATGGAAATTACGCCATGGGATCTTTTACATTCACCCAAACCAGCAGACACTGCTTTAGTTTAACACCACATGCAAAAGATTTCCAACAATCTCGCGCTCCCACAATACTGTAGTGAAGTACCAGCATAGCTTTTTGTGCTCAAGCCCTCAAGTCTGATTTGAACCCACAACCTCGTGACTCGGACATGGTGCAAGATACCCATTATTAATGTTATCCAGAAACAAATAAGTTTCAGTACTCAAACCAAATGGATTCATTACGATGGTCTGATTCCCTGGAAGAGCTGTTCACATTGTCACTCCCACATGTTTTAAAATTAAAGAAGTAAATAAATTGTTGAAAAGGACTGACATGAAGAATTCTGCCACAATTTCTGCTAGAGTATTTCAGATGTGAACATCTCTACACAAAAAAATAAAATCACATCTTTCCTTTTGTCATTGTAATGGGATCAAATTTCTGCCCTCCAATTTTCTATTCCCTCAATTGCAGAAATAGTTTTTCCCTCATATATATTATCAAAGCCTCAATTTTAAGCTCCTCTCAAAATCGCTCAACATTTTTTTGGGCCCATTTCTCCAAATCTCCGCCAAAACTGAAGCCTCTGATCTTGGTACCAGCCAAATAAATGTTTCCATCACCTGGGCTATCCATGTGAAATCAAGACACCCAAAACTGAACAAAGTTGTAATAGAGACTTACAAAAGGATTTTCTTTTTAAATGTAGTCAAAAATAGTTTGGAGAGAAAAAAAAAAATCAACGTTTTCTCTTAATAAAATAATTGACTTGCCCTTCGAATTTTGGATACTTGAACAACTACCCATCTCTGCTCAGTACAAAAGCAAAATACTGCAGGTGCCTGAAATTAAAATAAACGCAAAATGCTGGAAATAATTAGGTCAGGCATTATCTAAAGAAAAATAATGCTAAGTTTCCGGCTGGTGATCTTTTGTTGGAACTAGAAGTATAGAGGTGTAACAGGTTATAAACAATTACAAACACAGGAAAAGAACAGGGAAGAATTAAAGCGAAAAGGTTTTCAACAGTCTGAAAGAATACATTAAAATGACTAAAAAGCAGATTGTGAAAAGCAAAAAGAGAGCAAAGGGACAAGTAAAATAAACAAAGATGGGTCTAAAGAAGTTGTAAATGGGAATAGCAGAATCATGTTAAAGTTCTGTCCAAAAGAAATAGGTGCAAAGGTTAACATATAAAATTATCAAAATTAATGTTGAGTCCGGAAGGGTATGTTGTACCTAATTAAAAGTAAAGTAATGTTACTGTTCAAGTCTGTACTGAGCTTTACTGGAAGAGCATAGAACAGAACTGACAAAAAGGTCTGAGTAGGTATTGGGGCACAGAATTAAATTGACAGATGTGCGAAAGCTCCGATGTATGTTTGTAGAATGAAGAGGGTGCTCCACAAAACAGTCATTCAATCTGCGTTTGGTGCCCCCAGCACAGAGGAGACCACATTATTTAGCAACCTGTACGGTATATTTTCTTCAAAAGAGGATTTTTGCGTTCTAGAGATTAGGCAATGTCAAGCTAAAATGGCAAATAGTGTATCTCTGGAACCTGTGTGAAGTTTTGAGAAAGAAGGATGGCTTTAAAAGTCATTGAAGAGTGGGCCATGGAGGTTGGGAGTGGGGGCGGAGGAGGGAGGAGTGGAATAATCCTAAACCACCTAGTTTTTGCTCCTCCTTTAATGGTTTGCCTATAGGTTATGGGTCATCTATTTATTATTTCCAAAGCACAATACTCAATTTCCCTGCTTTATAAACACGTTTGACGCCCCCCCCCCCGCCAAAATCCTACAAACCTGCCTACGTCCTGAAATTCTCAAACCTCTTCAATCAAGCACACTCCTTTTTTTGGTTGCCTATGAATTTTGATACGGTATCCCTATACTGGAGCATAGATCAAGGGGGAAAAAAAACAAGAAACTCTAAATTCTGATAATGATAATATCACTTTTTTTTTAAAAAAGGGTGCCTCCATTTTTAAGAACATCCATTAATCATTAGTGTTTACTACCTCTTAATCGCTTTGAATTCAAGCTACATCCAGTTTAATACTGTTCCCTTAAACTTGCAGTGCTCTGTCTTCTGTAACATTTAAATGCAAAGTCAATTGTATTCTGATAGGAATACAGTAGACTCTTCAAATCAATTAGTAAAGCTAGAGCCATACTACTTAATGGGTTTGGGTATTTCTATGTATATTAAATACACATGCAGTCACAAAAACAGAGCAGCAGAAAGCAGCACGAGGAATCATACATACAAGCAAGGTCATTCCCACTTTAAACCTCACCTCGCATCAATCGTTGAGTTTCACTATGGATCTGACGTATTGCCTCCTTACTCTGTTTAGCTGCCTTCCTCTCTATACGTACCTTTAAGGACAGAAAGTGATAAAATCTCTCAGGTAAAGTGGCGCATAATCCAAGACAATAAACAAAATGAAATATATTCAGAATTAACCATTTTAAAAAAATTTTGCGTTGTGATTTGTCAGAAGGAACTTGCATTGGGTGTAGCATACTTCCAGTGATGTTTAATCTCATTTTCAATAACTGGTTTTATCAATTTTCAGCTGGCATTTAACTTAATTTGAGTCAAATACCATAAAAGCATTTAGGGCAGCACGATGGCTCAGGGGTTAACACTGCTGCCTCACCGTGCCAGGGACTTTAGATTCAATTCCACCATTGGGCAACTGCCCTGTGTGGAGTTTACACATTCTCCCCGTGCGTGTGGGAGTTTTCTCCTGGCACTCTGGTTTCATCCCACAGTCCAAGCATGTGCAGGCTATGTGGATTAGCCATGGGAATTCTAGCGTTACAGGGGTGGGGCAGAGAGTCCGAGTGGGATGCTCTTCGGAAGGTTAGTGTGGAGTGATGGGCCGTATGGCCTGCTTCCATACTGTAGGTATTCTATGATTCAAAAGAAAAATCATCTTGAAGATATAAAACATGTTTAACTCTGTTTGACAGCTACATATAATACTGACCTTTGACCAAAGTTAAGCATTACCTTTTCATCAAATCTCAAAAATGGGAATCTAGGATTGGTTTAGTAGTAACAGCATCTTAACTCTAGTCAAGCATCACAAGATCACTGATAAATGAAGTAATGTCAAACATCACTGTTACATGTTGAGCAATATCCTTGTACATTTTATAAAGGAGCATGTTATTTTCTCAGCATAGGTGTTCACGATGGATGGTGACATGACCACACTGCTCCTTCAGTTGGGTTATGCCTGACAACGTAACTTCAGCCTAAGTTCACAAGTCACATACATAAGGAACTGGTATGACAGATGTTACATCTCAAATCATAAGTATACTTCAAATCTATATTAAGATGTAACCGGTGATTGCAGCTCCACATTACTGTAGGCTTAGAATTTGTATCGTACATGCATCCATTTAAAAAAACAGCATTTTTTGCTAAGAAACAGATAATTTGGCCAACTGGTGTACGTGAACATTTACTACCCATATACATCTCTTAAGAGCACCAGAAATAGGAGTAGACTGCATAGACTATCAAGCCTGTAACCTTTAAATTTCTGCATCCACCCTATTAAGCTCATTTAGAATCTTGACTGTTTCAAATGTGATTGCCATCAAAACGTCAGAACTAAATGTCAGATTGCTGAACGGATTCAAAACAATTTATCAAATTAATCACAAATGCAATGTTCATGTAAAAACAGGAACTTTCTCCTAGCAGAACAAACTAATAAATCAATTTCAAATGCCTGAATCGAGTAAATAGCACTAGACGTTGCACTGCAGTTTAACTATGTATTGTACTCATTAATAGTTTACTAAATATCTCTTTGTTTATCTATTATAATGTGTCAAATATCAACTGCTTCAAGCTGTAGTCCACGAGGGGCCATGGGCTTTTATTTTTGTCAGAGAGACACGTGGCTATATAGCTCGTGGGGCACCATATTGCATTAAGCATGGAGCAAGGTAACAAGGCAGTCATCCATGAACCACTAAAGGTGATTATGTACTGCAAATAACCTTCAACCAGAACAAGCTTAAGGGCAGAATGGTTTAAAAAAAAACTTGCAGATGATAATGTACACCTGCTATAAGTTACTTTTGTTTCTAAAATAAAATTCAACTTTCTTTAAGAAAGAATATAAGCTTGTAAAAATCAGACTTTTAAAAAATGATGCCAAGGACAGATGAACGGGAGAAGAAATTGAGAATATTTAGTCACTGGTAGAAGTATGAAGTTTTGTTTTCATAGAAAATAACACACTGGATATAATACTTCATTTTAAACAGTGACGTGGCGAAGGATCGACATTAAGCTATTCTTAGCCAAATATCACCTTTTTCTCCTCTACTTGCAAAGCTTCCGCGTAATCATAATCCTGGAGATTTTCACCAGATGGCACCAGGTTCATTCTCTAAAATCAGAACAGCAACTAAGAAATTATTACAGAAACTGTACAAATAAACAAAATAAAGTAACATGATTTATAGAATACAAGAGTATTCACAAAAAAATGAAATAAAGTCAACTTGGTCAGTCAATTTTTTCTTTCTTCATTCACTACACGTGGCCATTCCACAGCTGGCCAGCATTTATTTCTTGTCCCTCATGGTCCTTGAAAAAGTGGTGAGCTGCCTTTTTGAACCACTGCAATCCATGTGCTGCAGCTTGACACGATGTCCTTAGGAGGGAATTTCAGGATTCTAACCCAATGACAGTGAAGGAAAAGCAATACATTTCCATATCAGGATGGTGAGTGGCTTGGAGGGGAACTTGCAGCTGGTGGTGTTCCCATGTACCTGCTGTCCTTGTCCACCTGGATCGAAGTGGTCATGGGTGCTGTCTAAGGACCTTTGATGAATTTCTGCAGTGCACTGTATAAATGGTACTCTGCTGCTACTAGGCCTTGGCAGTGGAGAGTGTGGATGTTTGTGGATACTGTGCCAATCAAGTGGGCTGCTTTGACCTGGATGGTGTCAAGCTTCTTTAGAATAGTTGGAGCTGCACTGATGTAACCAAGAGGAAAGTATTCCATCACACTCCTTGTAGATTGTGGAGAGACTTTGTGAAGTCAGGAGGAGAGTTACTCACCACAGTTTTCCTAGCCTCTGACCCGCTCTTGTAGCTACTGGTTATGTGGCAAGTCCAGTTGGATTTTCTGGTCAATTATAACCTCAGGATGTTGATAGTAGGGGATTCAGTGATGGTAACACCATTGAACATCAAGGGGCAATAATTAGATTGTCTTTTATTGGAGATGGTCATTGCCTGGCATTTGTGTGGTGCAAATGTTACTCAGCATTTTGTCAGCCCAAACCTGGATATTGTCTAGAACTTCTTGCATTTGAACATGGACTGATTCAGTATCTGAGGAGTAATGAACGGTGCTGAACATTGCGCAATCATCAGCAAACAACCCCACTTCTGACCTTATGATGGAGGGAAGGACACTGATGAAGCAGCTGAAGATGGTTGGGCCTAGATTACTACCCCGAGGAGCTAACCTGAAGCTGAGAAGACTGATCTCCAACAACCACAACCATCTTCCTGTGTGCCAGGAATGACTCCAACCAGTGGAGAATTTTCCCAATTCCCATTGATTCCAATCTGGCTAGGGTTCCTTTTGCCATAATTGGTCAAATACACAGTCTTGATTTCAAGGGCTGTCACGCTCAGCTGTTCTCTGGAATTCAGCTCCTTTGTCCCTGTTGGACCAAGGCTGAACTCACAATTATATATGCATACTGCTCCTTGGAACATATTGCATGGGTAATGACGAAATCAACAGAAGTAAAGCTTCAATCTAGGTTCTGACATTTGATCTTTATCAAATGTGTCTAGCTGGACGTTTCATTACTCTGCTGATGGTGTTACCCAGCAGGGTAATGAAATGTATGTGGAACAATGAACCAGCTTGGCTAGCCAACCAACCACAAAAAAATGAGTGATTTTTAACATGAAATTTTCAGTTCAGATGGCGACGTTGTTTAAATGACAAAAATAGTTGTCTCAATAAGGACAGTTTGACAGCAATAATTTATATTTGGAAGCAATTATTAACAAAATAAAACTTTCCAAGACACGTTACAGAACTATTGCAAAATAAATTAAGTATGACAATGAGCCACCAAAAAAATATTAATTCATACAAGATACAGGAGAAAAAGGAGAAAAATAAGGAGAAAAAGGAGGTAACAAGGCTGAGGGGGAATTCCAGAGGCTTGGACCAAGTCAACTGAGCTTACCAATGATGAAGTAATGAAAACTGAGGCTCCACTAGAGGTCAAGTTCAGAAAAGGGCACTGATCTCAGTACTGTCGGGTTGGAGGAGATTACAAAGATAGCTTCACATTTATGAAAAGAATTTGAAACTCAAGGATCAAAATTTTAATAATCAAGATATTGTTTCACTCACAGCCAATAAAGTCAGTGAGCATAAGGGTTTTCAGGCAATCTACAATGCAAATTGTACTGATATGAACGATGGAATGTTTGAATTTGACCAGTTGTAGCTATCATGGATAGGTTTACATTTTGTCATTGTACTAATTGCAACTTAAAACTGACGCTCAACATACAAATGTACATTCACAAAACCCCATTTCTGCCCAATGGTTACCCAATGGAAATTTACCACCTTTGCCCAGATTCTCATGGAGTTCCCCAGTCTGGTCTCCTCTCTCCCATTTTCACACAAGCCACTAGCTCTAAATTATTTATCAAGGGCAAGGGGCTCTCCGTTTGCACCTGTTGTATTGTATCCAAAAACATTTGATCACTTTGTGAAACAAAACTCGCAAACGTAGTTCACTTTGTGGAACAGAACCCAATTTCAAAAGTTTCAAATTGGACTCACTTTGGATTGTTTTGCTTTCTTCTTTATGGTTGCTCGTATGGCATCCAATGACAATTCTTCCTCTGCATCAAGTTCATTCATATCACCCATTTCCGTTTCAAACAGGTCACTGTTGTTTAGCAGGCAGCCACTGTCATCTGCTGTCTTGTATTCTGTAGACTCTTCCTGAACAGAGATTAAAGAAATGCATTAAAAGAAATTAAAAAGTGATTAATGTATTTACTATTTAATACCATCTTCAAAACGCTGTCGCAAATAAGATTGAAAGATCTCAAAAGGTCAAATGGTTTAACAGTTCAAGTTTAACCTCAGAAGGCACCCTGTTAACTATTTTTCACACCATTTTTTCTGGTTGTTTCTTCTTTCTCTGCAGTTTCTCAAATGCTTCCAGCTTTTTCTGTGCTCTCTCTCGCTGTCTCTGGGATTTGTCCTTTCGATTTACTCGTTCCTTGTGATGTTTCGAACGTTCAGATGTTTGTAAGCTAACTGTAGAGCTATCTGAATCAGAGTTTTCATGTCTGGGTTCTGTTGCGGGCTGTTCCTCATTTTCTCTACCAACACAACTGGATTTTATTATTCTCACTTGATCTTCACCGTTAATAATATCCAAGTCACTTTCATCACTATCCAACATTACTCTCCGAATACGTCGCAGCCTCTTGCTTTTATCTCCAGCATCAACATTCAAGTTTCGCTCTTCATTTTCATTGTCGAATTCTGGTTTTGAATTGCTGTTTCTGTGTAGATCGCTTGCCTCCCCATCACTATCACTCTCTTGCAAAGGTTTCCTTCTAATTTTCTTGCTGGTAAAAATTTCTTCTTCCGAATCTGAAGGAAGACAAAAAAAAAAGCAAATGCACATTTTTTCCCACTTTACACTATTTGTCAACTTTTTGGCCCACTTTACCTATTATCTGTTAAACTGTTTGGTTTCATCTCACAACTTGCCTTCCATGCCATTTCGCGGTCATCTGCAAACTCAGCAACAGTACGTGCACTCCCCTTCTTAAACTCATTAATGTATATTGTAAAACAGCTGTGGTCCCATCACTGATCCCTGTGGAACTGCATTGGTTACATGTTGCCAACCTGAAAAAGAATCCCTTATGCCCATTCACTGTTTCCCGCTCTTTAGCCAATTCATTATCTCCAACACTGTGGTCTCTAATCTTATGGCTTAACATTTGAGAGATACCTTGTCGAACACCTTCTGGAAATACAAACACAACTCATCTGCTGGCACCCCTCTATCCACTTAGATATCCTTGAAAAACTCTAGTCAGACATAACTTCCCTTCCATAAAGCCATGACTCTTCTTGATTAGATTATGATTTTCCAAATTTGCTGCAATTACTCCTTAATAATTGATTTCAACAATTTTCTAACAATAGATGTTAGATTAATTTGTCTTCAGTTACATGCTTTTTGCCTCCCCACTTATTGAATAGGAGTGTCATATTGGCTGTTTTCCAATCCTCCAGTACTTCCCCAGAATCCAAGGAATTTTAGAAAATTAGAACCAAAGCATCCACTATCTCTGCAACAAACTCTTTTAGGATCTCAGGATGCATGCCATCAGGGCCAGGGGACTTGTGCCTTTAGCCCTATTAGCTTGTCTAATACTACTTTGCTAGTGATGCTACTTAATTCTTCACCTGAATTCTTCAGAATTCATGGGATGTTTGTAGTATCTTCTATAAAGACTGATGTAAATTATTTGTTTAACTCCACAGCTATTTGCTTATTCCGCATAACTATTCCCCAGATTCATTTTCTAAGGGGCCAAGATTCACTTCGACGTCTCCTTTTTATACACAAAAGAAACTCTTATTGTCAGTTTTTATGTTCCTTGCTACCTTACCCTGCAAGTTGATTTTCTCTCAATTTATTCTGTCTAGTTTTGATGGATCCCAAATCTATCCTAGTCTAATTTTAACGTAAAAGCAGATAATTTAGATCACTGAAGCATTAACATCTGAAATATTCACATTTGTTACACTTAGAGAAAATTTGTAACAAAGTACTCCAAAGAACAAACAATGGATTTGATGATAGAGAATTAATAACTATTAACTTTGCAAGCTGAAACAAATTACACATGACAGAACACAAACCTCCACCATCATGGCACATTTCTTTGTTTGAATGTGGGGAGACCATTCCATAACTTCCCTTGCCACTGTCGTTATCACTGTCATTTGTTTTTTCTTCACCAAATGTTAACTGGAAGTAAAGTACAAAATCAGAGCCTATTTTGGTCACAGCTCATTAGGTGCAAAATTAGAATATGACAGAAATGGATTACAATCAAAGCGAGTACACAAAGAGAGAAAGTTAGACACCGAACGTGTAACAACTGTTGAGTTCCTCTTTGAGCACTATTTCAGGCAAAGACTTCCTCCACCTGATGAAGATCATAAACATTTGAAAAATACAAGTGAGTCTTCAAACAGATTCATCAAATAAATCACACAGGACTTACATGTCAAAAACAAGTTTCTTGACAAAACCAGTTCATGTCAAAGTTTATGCTCTACTTGAGTGTCCTCCCACCCAACTTTATTTAATATTGCTAGCATAGCCTTGGATTTCTTTCTCCCTCACATGGTTTTCTTAGCAGTCCCTTAAAATGCATATTTATTTGCTTCAACTGCTCAACGATGTAGCAAGTTTCACATTCCAAACAGACTTTAGGTTAAGAAGTTTGCCGTGAATTTAAGTGATGATGAAGCACTTTGACCCTTCTTTTGAATATCCAACAACTGGAAAAACACGTGCTGCATCCATCTTATCAAACCCCTTTATAATTTTACAGTACATCATCACTCAATCTTTCCTCAAAAAGCTCCAGACAATTGAGTCTTTCATAGTTATAATCTCAGCGCTAGCATTATTGACGTACATCTTTGTTACACCATCACCAATGCTCTGGTATCCTTTTAACAAACTCATTCAAATACCTTGCTGAATATACAGGTGAAAAGTGTTTCAAGTGGGAGATAGTGGCAATGTCACTGAACAAGTAATCCAGAAACCTGGCTACTGGGTTAAAACCCCACCATGATAGGTGATGGAATTTAAATTCAACAAATGAAATCTAGAACTAAAGCTGGTCTTATGAACCTGTGATTGTTTTCTGTAAAACCCCTCAGTTTACTAATATCCTTTTGGGCATTTTCTTGAGGAAGGAAATCTTTCATCCTTACCTGGTATTGCCTGTGACAAAAATCCAGAGTGTCTTGGTTGATTTTAAGTTGCCTTCAGAGATGGCCAAGCAAGCCAATCAGTGATGGAACAATTGGGCAGGCAACAAATATTGGCCTTGACAACGATACCCGTGAAAGAATTAAATATCAAGGTAAAAGCTGGGTAAATCGTACACTCTCTACTTTGATACTACATGAAATCAAAAGAATTAAAGGCATGGAAGTATCTTTGAAAATGAGTGCAAATGTTTTCACTGCTTTCAACAACCTTCGCAGAAATTCTGATGTACTCAATATTAATTGGACACATTGCTTTCTAACTCAGTGAATTCATAGTCTGCTGACCTCTATGGCAGAATATTTCAGTGAAGCATTTCGTAATAATTTGAAATCTATTACTTACTGTTCTCAATCACTGCTCTGGGTTAAGTAGTTCATCTTACAAGCCAAATATTACGGAAATGCTAAGTTGGAACTAAGTTGATTAATATTTTATTTATAGCCAATTATATCCTCATACTATTCTACAGCCAAACTAAGATTTGCGACGTTTTGTACTTATTTATTTGTGGCAGCCATGACATGAATGAATTTGCTGACACATTTACAATTTGGTCATTTCAAACTGCTTATGTTGCAATAACAAACAGTTAAAGTTGATTTTGTACCAACACGCACAGATATAAACTTCACTTTCTACATTTCAGCAAGTGAATGATTCAGAATATGTACAGAACCAAATAACCTCATGTTCATGAAAGGTCATTCCTTCTCTAGGAGCGCCCATCACAGCCTAGCAAAGAGACAAATGAGGAAGCAGCTACAACACAGGATGGATTTCTAGAACATGGAACAAGTGCCTCAAAAACTGAACAGCTGCTGAAATGTTAGTATCATACTGGATGGTGAGACACTGCTTTACCATTCAGTCCAACATTTCGCAGCCAACAAACAGCAAAGCATTTTAATGCTAGCATTGCTGAATTGAATTCAATGATTAATTGTTGCAAGCACATGCTAGTGTGATAAAACCGATACTGATGTTGCATTTGATACTTGTGTGGGAACTTACAATGGAAACACACACATGCCATTGTATTTGCAAAGTTAAACAAAGCTTTTCAACCTGTTCGCAAAGAACTGCGTTGGGATTGCAAACAGAACTGCAGATGTTGTTTATGCGTTGGTTGCACTAAATACTTAATCCAAAATCCCTAAAGCCCACCAAAAATTCCAGCTCAAAATATTAAGTTAAACTAGACCTCAAATAAGTTTGCCTATCCTCTTACTCAATATTCACGTTACATTAGATCATTGCATGATTTAGCATGAAAGCTAGCATATCAGATTCCAATCTAGTGGACCGAAGCTGGAACCCTGAAGATCTGACTCTGAAGATCAAAACCAAATTACATCAAGTGCTTGGGTTGCGTATATTAGCCCAATGATAAGGTATTACCTGGTTTGATAACTAGCCACACACAGAATTACGAAACAGTTTGAATTATTTCACCTCTCACTGTTCTAAACGGAATAGACTACGTGCTCATTTCACTTAACGAGAAAAATAATACATGGAACAGTGTGACTGCCCAAAAAGTTAAAAACAACTAAAGCGTAATCCCTTCACAGCCACTACTATATTTCACCCTGCTAAGCTTTTCCTTATGTTGCTCACGACTGCAAAGCAGTTATAAAGCTATATGGCAGTCTTCTACAAATTGCGAAAAGATGTACAAAGCAATGAAACTTAAAATTGCAAATTAATAAAAATTAAATGCTTAAAAGTTGTGCAACAGAAGAACTGAAGGAAAAAAATACAATGAGCAGCACAAGTAGCGCCAACAATTTTGGGCGGTGGTGATTAAACAGGGGAGGGAAAATTTAAGGTATAAAAGTGAATGTATGCTGCACCCAAATTATCATAGGAAACCGCCAACTACCAACTCCCATTGTAAGGATCATCTTAGTTAACCTAAACCAACACCCGCCAAAAAATATAAATTCACAATCGAGAACAGACAGACAGCGGGAAAAAAAAAGACAAATCTGCAGTGATCGAGTACAAAACACAGGCCGTCATTAAAATATGAAAGGCTTTTAATTATAGAAACTGACATATTTAAACCCAGCAGAGAGATTAAAAAGAACGATCAGCTGACAAGTCTGAAAGTGCCAACAGTCACAACGCTGTTATTTCATCTCAGAATGAAGCAGGATGACTCGCCAGACAAAAATACTGAGAAGACTGGACTGCGGGTACAATCCCCAGTAGTTCCCAGAAGCGGAGACCGAAAGCAGAGCAGCCTCCCTTCCAGCCAGCGCGCCAAGCCGGAGCCGGCCCAGCAGACCCTCCCTCCATTTTGCTCCTACCTCCGTGCACGGCTGTAGCTCGGATACTGACATCGCGGGGCAATGAACGGAAAAAAACACCTGAGGAAGAAAAGGCGTCAGGACGAAAAGGGCCGTGCGGCTTCAGCAGCTCTGAGCGTTCCAGTTAAAATAACTTCATCGCGACCTTTAAAACCAAGCGGCTCCAGCCGCGGGAAAGCTCTGCCTCAAACTAATAAACTCTACAGTTCGGCCTTCGCGCCCAGCCGCTCAGCGCATGCTCCATCAGCAGAGTCCCACCCCCTCCACTCCTGATTGGTGTCGGCCCCGGACAATAGCTCCACCCTCTCGCTCCTAATTGTTTCCAACTCTGGAGGCTGGCCGGCCCCTTCAGTTTCGAGGCGTATCGAAACCCCGCCCGCTGTTGTGATGTCATCAGGCCCCGCCCTTTCCCACAAATGATTGATATGTCCATGATTAGACCTGGCGCCTGTCATTGGTGCGTCTTTCTCCTCTGTGCTGCAGCGGTAAATTTGAAATAGATCTCTTGATCGACTTGGGAGGTGACTCTATTACCACAAAACCGAAATAGCTTTGCTCTTGTAATACTGTGATAGTGTCTATATCTTTAAGCCAAGAGGCCTAGGTTTAAGTCCCACCTCATCCTGAGGTGATCAAGTACTTAAGGTATTAACAGAAAAACATAGGGTCGGGTAAACTACTTATACTGGTTGGAGATTCTAGAACGCGCAAACATAATGTCAAAATTTAGGCTGGATCGTTCAAGAGACATGCAGTAAGCACTTCTACCCAGAAGTTCAGAACTCCCTTCCACAAATAGAGTCATAGAACACAGAAATAGACACTTCAGTCTAACGAGAGATAGTAGGAACTACAGATGCTGGAGAATCCGAGACAACAAGGTGCAGGGCTGGATGAACACAGCAGGCCAAGCAGCATCATAGGAGCAGAGAGGCTGACGTTTCGGTGAAGGGTCTAGGCCCGAGACTTCAGTCTAACACTTCCTTGCCGACCAGATATCCTAAATAAATCTAGTCCCATTTGCCAGCATTTGGCCTATATCCCTCTAAATGCTGCCTATTTATATACCCATCCAGGTACCTTTTAAACATTGTAACTGTACCATTCTCCACCACAGCCTCTGGTAGTTTAGTCAATACTCACACCACCCTGTGTGTGAAAAGGTTGTCCCGCTCCCTTTTAAATCTTTCCCCTCTCATCTTAAACCTATGCCCTGTAGTTTTGGACTCCCCCATCCTGGAGAAAAGACATTGTCTATTTATCCTATCCAAGCCCCTCATGATTTTAGAAACGTTTATAAAAAGGTCACCCCTCAGCCTCTGATGCTCCAGAGAAAATAGCCCCACTCTCTTCAGTCTCTCTCTACAGCTCAAACCCTCCAACCCTGAACCGTTTCAAGTTTCACAACATCCTTCCAACGTAGGAAGACCAGAATTGCAAGCAGTATTCCAACAGTGGCCTAACCAATGTCCTGTACAGTCACAACATAACCTCCCAGCTCATATTCTCAGTGCACTGACCAATAAAGGCAAGTATACCAAACACCCTCTTCACTATCTTATCTACCTACGACTCCACTTTCAAGGACCTGTTAACCAGCACTCCAAGGTCTCTTTGTTCAGCAATACTTCCCAGGATCTTACCATTAAGTGTATATGTCCTGCCCTGATTTGCCTTTCCAAAATGCACCACCTCACATTTATCTAAATTAAACTTCAGTAATTTTTGATCAAGCAAAGATATTGAGGGATATAGGCCAAAGGCAGGTATACTGATTTTGGCCACAGATCAGCCAGAACAGGCCTGAAGGGCTAAATGGCCTTCTCCAGTTTTCATATTCCTATCTCTGAACAGGTAGATTAGAAAATATGTAAAATCAATGTCTTCTCCCTTACAAAGCACGATTACAGATAGTTCCCCTGTAACACAATAGTTGCGTTCTTGTGCACCCTCGTGCTATAGAAAAATCACTATACTGTACAGTAGAAAGCTTGCGTATCCAAACAGCATCCATTATTCAAACTCATAATTGTGCAATAGAAACACATTGAAATGCTTACACCAACGTTTAACAAATATCTTTTTAAAAATACAAGCACCAAGCTTTACTTGAAATCTAAAACTGGCAAGTAAGGAAGTTACATAAGCTAAACCTGCATTAGACCATGTTCAGTACTTCAAACATTTCTGGTTACCACATAGAAAAGGAGAAATGAGGGCTCTTGTGATGTTGTAGTAGAATTTTTACCTCCGAGCCAGGAGGCCTGTGTTCAAGTGCTACCTGCTACAGAGGTGTGTCATGACAGATCAGATACAGGTTGATTAAAATTCTGTTAAAGTGGAAATGCTTTACAGGCACAAAAAAATTCACAAGGATAACACAGGAACTACGTAGGTACACAATAAAGCAAACTGTCCCCATCACTTTCTCTGGTACAGCAATAATATTATCAGTTCCGCTTCCCCCTCTCTTTCAGGAGGCTGCAGGGCAGAGCATAACTACACAGGCCACGAATAGAAGATGGTCACCAGGAAATCCAATGGTGAATTCAGAACAGAAAAAAAAACTTTTGCAGCTGAAGAGCCATAAGAAAGAACCGCTACCACAGTTAGTAGTGAAAGTGCATAGCATGGGTGCAGATAAGGCACAAGACAAGCACGTGAGGAAAACTGGGAGATAGTTCAAATAGTTAGGCTGAGTGATCTGTTTCAGTGCTAGTTTTCCTTCACTTAACTGCTCCTCCCTTACAGCTCTAGGATCTTGCACCTTTCTGTAAACTCTCAGATCCTGATGGGAACAGACTCCATTTAAACAAAATGGAAACAAACACAACTATGTTAAAAAGGAAAGAATGAAAGATGTTGCAAAAAAAAATGGCAAGGTCTCAATTTCAGACATCCTCTTTCCCAACCTGGAGTTAAAAATGTACTGAGCGTTAATGTTGCTAAGACACTATAAGAAAACAAATATTTAAAATTCGCATTGTTACTCGATGATTTATTTCCATTTGACTATAGTGATTGTAATGAGGTCAGCCAGGTGGACTTCAGAGAATAGGAGTGCCCTGATTGGACCAGATTAACAGCCCCAATCAGGGGGCCCTGGCTGGCAGACATAAACAGGAGTGTCAGAGGTTCTGTTCACTCTGAGAGCTGGGCCTGAGGAAGCTGGATCAGTGTCAAGTACTTTCCATGTATAAATGAAGGGTGACTTGGTGACGGGATACCGGCCTCTTATTGAATCCTTAGTGTGGAAGGAGGGCATTTGGCCCATCGAGTCCACACCGACCTTCTGAACAGCACACAGGTACACCGTCTACCCTATTCCTGTAACCCTGCATTCCCCATGACTTTGCAACTAATCAACACATTCCTGGACATTATGAGCAATTTAGCTTGGCCAATCCACCTAAAATGCACATCTTTGGACTGTGGGAGGAAATCCACGCAGACATTGGGAGAATGTGCAAACTCCAAACACACAGTTGCCAGAGGCTGGAATCAGACCCAGGTCCATGGCACTTTGAGGCAGCAAGGCTAACCACCAAGCCACTGCGGTGGATTATTTCAGACCACAACATTAGAAGCAGCACTACGTCATTTGGTCCATCAGATTGTGGCTGATTTGATAAACCTCAACTCCACTTTCCCATCTTTTCCCTTTAACCCTCGATTCCCTCATTTTTAAAAAAATCCATCTGCTTCTCTCAGCCAATTAACAGATTGTTGCTGGCATAAAATCTACAATTTAATTTGTGAAAGCACAAAAATGTAGAAAAATAATCTGTAACATGAGGAAATTACTTTCAGCTTTGTTTTTCTCAACAATGTTCTTCAACAGAAGCAGTGTACAAGTTCTTTTACTGAACTTTACATACAACACTTAAATAATAGTTTCAGACATATTTTCTGTTAGATGAATTAGGAATGACATTGAGACAATTTAGATTGAAAATACTTTACTCAAGTCTTATAACAATGAAAAAGAAAAGACGACAGATCTACAGGTATATACTACCTCATCACATGAAAAGATTCCAAAATGTTTAAAAGAACATTCATCAATGGAACACCAGAAATGGACCTAAAAGAATAACACCTCTGCCCCACCACAAACACAGGGTGAGGTCAAGTGTGGATGTCAGTGCAATTGAGTCACGACATCATATGTACACCAAAGACCCTTTAAAATTAAAAAAAAGGCAAAAACCTACGAATATCATACCTGAGTTTCACTGCTGCTGATTCCAGACATTTGATTGCTCAATTTGGAAATTAGTGTTTCAAATCACATATCTAGCCGTTTTTGTCCCTTCTGGAAACATTTTCTCAGTAGCAGGGGAAATACATACAGCAGTGAAATACATACAGCAGTGACATTTCTGTTGTAAATTGTAACATTGCTGCCTTTTATAAGTCCACATTTTCCACCATTGGATTGGACACTTTGTGCAGTTGCACACTGTTAAGCATGACAGGCAGTGCTCCAATATGAAGTCACAAAAGATAATGACAGGCATAAGCATCAGTTCAAATCGTTTTTGGGTGTCAGTGGATAGAAAGCATATCCTATCTATGCAGGGAAACTAAAAATAGATCTAACAGCAGTGAAACTGTTGCACAGAAAATGAGATGACAAAATGGTACTTTAATGGACGCAATTCTAAATGATGTTAAAGAATCTTACTGCCAATTCCAATTTAAGCTTTTTTGGATTTTTCTTTTCTTGTCCAAATTAGTCTGATTTTCATTCAGTGTGAGGTAAAGGTGGTTAGATACGGAGATTCTGCCTCAGCCATGTGGCGTACAACAGAAACTTGGAAGCCCGTCTCCTCCCCACAGCATCAGTATATAATTTCTTTAAAGTACTGTATTCAAACTGACAATTTTGATCTGGATAAGTTCTACCACATCCTAGGATTTCTATGATGTGGTCTCTTTCCCATTAAGAACTGGATTAAAATGATCTAAACTAATTTTATTTAGGACCAGCTGAGCTAAGACAGGAAGTGGACATTTTCTTTTCAATAACTTGGATTATTAGTCAATGATGCAGCTGTGCAATTAACTGAGAAGCTATTTCCATGCTGTAAAAATCAAACATTTCTTGCATTTCTGATTTAGAACTGTCAAAACTTTTGTTTTAAAAATTGTACGATACTGATTATGAAATATCTTCTGGAAGTGGGCTGTATTTTAGCACTTCTCTCAATGAAAGATGAAAATGCATGAGTGTAGCAGAGAATGAGGGCAGGAGAGATGCAGTTGCTGCACCTCCTAAATTAAAGCCAGTTCCCAAAACAACTGAGCAGTCAAATTTAACCAGCTAATGACAAATGCTGCAACACCTAAAATTAAATAAAATGTTAATTATTTTTAAAAAAATCTTCACCAGCATTTTGCCTGGAAATACAGCCATACGCCAAGCCTCTTCAGATCACTGCACTAGTGGCTTGGACAGTTTGCATTGAGGTTGGCTTGTCATTAATTTTGAGAGAGACACTGCTCCAAAGCTGCCATTCCATACAGGTTGGCTTTCTCCTCACCAATACTTAACATAATGTCTTTACACGGTTTGCTGTTCTTGGCCAGTTCAGCTAAAACACTCTGAAAGGCAGCAATGAGGTCAAACTCCACAGTCACAGGTGAACTCTTATTTAACAAATTAAAAATGTCTCTCAACCATTCTGATTCAATTACACTTTGTGGTAGCCATGGTAGCAAAGGTACACAACTACCAAAAGCCTGCATTCCCAGAAACCAAAGCTCTGAGATTTGATCCCAACCTTCTTGGTATCTCTCAGTCACCACAATCTGTGTTCGGTCATCAATTCTGTTCAGCTGCGTTGTATGTGCTTTTGACAAAAAATGAATCGCCCCTCGGAAAAAGCCCTTGGATACTGTAGTTCCCTGTAACACTGTAAAAAACCGCACACAGTTACTACCAAAAGACAAATCCAAACTGGGTACAAATTCAACTTCAATGCCAAATTCGGGATTGACAAACTCTTGATCTCCAAAACTAAATAATATACATTTAGCTGTCTCAGTTTCCTCCTGTCCTCTCTGATCCATGGTTTTTTTTTGTCATTTTCAAGCCTCTTGTAAATTCAGCCTAGGTTCCAAACCCTCATTTAATCCATCTCCTCCATGAAACCCATTTCCTTCACAGCTGATTCTTGTGATGCCATTTTTTTTTTTTTTTTAAAAAAAGTCATTCACCCTCCGCTGTCGCACTATTACTCTAGCAAAGACCTTCCCTCCTGCTCTTGCACAAGGTCCACTGCTATCTCCAGCACAATATGTAAATTTAGATCAACCTGGTTATTCTCTGCTGTAGCACTGCATTAGTAAAAGATGCACAATGCTTTAATGTTCTACAAGTTTCCCTTTTTTAAGTACTGTAAATAATACCAGTTTTACATGATAGATATTTTTAAATCAATCTGTTCAGAGAGTTTATGACATGTACAGTAGAGGTAGAACTTGAACCCAGACCTTCTTGCCCAGACGTAGCAACACTTCAACTGCATCACAAAAGCCCCTGGTTTTGCATTATATGTAGTGTTTGAGACTGCTCAACAATGATGAGGTGGGGAGTAGGGTGCCGAGTTAATGATTTACTGTTCCATTCCGTACCTGGTGTGTCAGCAAGTATGCGACTCATCATCAGCCCCAAAGTTGTGAAATTAGCAGCAAGAATCAGGTGAAGCTGGTTACAAAGCAAAGACTGCAAGGATTCCATTAACAAGCTAAGTAAAGATGAGAAACATTCTTCCTGCCTGCAATGACATTAAAAAAAGACAAGTGTAAGAAATAATTTTAAAAAGTTGCAAAAAAAGCCTTTAAAAAGAAAATCCATTTGTCCACAAATATAACAAGTCAGACCAAAATTCACTGAAATCTGTTCAACACCAATTGTTTGAATTACCCTTTCAGATTCTTTAGTTGCGAGAAAGATCAATAAATTAACAGCCTGTGATCAGCTGGGCAACTGTAAATGTGGACACCGAATATTAGATACAGAAAAAGTGTCTGACGCTTGAGTGAGCTTCAAAATCATTAACTCTAGCCCTCTGATACCTCAGCAGATTGACTGAGGGAGTGGTCAAATCATACAGCCAAGGAAGTACTCAAGATTGGTCCTGGATCTCAAGCTCAGACAGCAACAGGGACATTACAACCGACCAAATTAGAAACAGTAAGACAAAAAACTGCAGTCTCAGTGTTGTTACTTCTATAATAACTTCTGCTGGAAATGCACAGTGGGTAAGATCAGGGTAAGTAAATTATTGAGTAGTTATGGCAAAAGACCAATAACATTATCATTGCACCATAGCAAGGTGTGGAAGTTAACTCAACAAAATCTCTTACGAGTAAGCACCAGACCAAAAAAAAAAAAGACTGTTCACCATAAAAGCTGTCAGCTTCTGGCAGGAATCTGCTAGTCTTACCTGGTTGGACCTACACATGGATGCAGTCCAATAATAATTTTTGAAAGGGCAAGTAGGATGATTGATACAACTTAGAAGAAAAAATGATAGGCCCAGCTGTAATGCTCCAACATTAAATCACCTATTTAATACTTAAAGTAGTTCACTGTTAAAACTTATATGTGAGCAATGATTCTTTTTAAGTGAGGTATTATATCTCAGCAAAAGGTCACACCTTCAGGAGAAATGGGAAGGATGGATTGGTGGGAATTGTTAATGAATGGCACCAGTGAAACAGATCGCTCCAGTCCTGGAATACCCATTACGTAAACGTGTTTGTACGTAGAATATTCAGCATCACAGGCAGAGCATTAACAGTGGGGCAACAAAGACAACAATGTCACTGTATTAACAAGTCTGTCTCTTGCATTGTCCCAGTATTAAAATTAGACGGTGGTGCAGAAACAACCAGAAAAATCAACATCAGACAGCAAGAGAACACCAAAGTACGTTGTGCCTGCCAAACTCCAGGAGCACTGTTGTTGATTGTCCTGGAATGTGGTCCAAAGCCCAGGCCTTCTGTCTGAAAAGAATGTAAAATGTGAACATAGCAGCAGCATTGGGCTCCTGAGGGTAGGTTTATCTGCTATTGATGGAATTTCAACAACTATAATTTCATCAGCTCTAAACCGAAAAAACAATCGATTAGTTGAAGACAATGGTTAATATATAAATTATAGTTGCTTATAAAAACACTTCATCATTTTAATACAGAGAAATATTGCTCTCTCCTCCCTTCCTACACTAGCAACTAACGTGCCAATTTGAAGTGGTTATCAATACTATGGTGTGTATCAAATGATAAAGAAGCCTAATTTGGTAGTCCAATAGACAATTCAACCAGACAGACCAAAGTTTATTTCCATGGGCTTTTGAGAGGAATCCATCCATCTCCACTGAATCCACATATTATATTGTGAGCCTCATAATTGAGATAAGGTATTGTATACCTGATCAGTGCGGGCTCTGTTATCACAAGGTTTAGAAAAATTCCACAGGCTGTTCGAAGACTCATCTCTGCATCATCTGGCAAAACTGATGCATTTTTGGAAGAACTGAAGACTTCCCACTGTTGTGTGAAATAACGAAGAAGCAAAACATGAAATCCATCCGAAATTAAGATCCTCCGAGGTGCATCCTCAGCTGAAAGGTGACAAAATCCAGGCAACAGAAATCTATAAGTAAATACATATGATTACCAAAACACTAAGTGCACACAAGTGGTAAGAGACAAAATGATTCCTACAAACCCTAACAAACTAAGGAAGGTGTTTGTGCTTACTAATGATTAAAGTGTACAGCTGCACCTCTCAGTTACTTTTCATCCTGGTTAATTTGCCAGCCAGAATATCCAACATGAACATAAGAAATAAACATTAACAATGACTGAAAGCCAAAAAGTGAGATCATTCCTTAGTTTGGAAACCACATTTGGCAACATAACTTTTGACAATACTTTTCTGAGCTCCATATCAGCTTGCATGACCAAAAAGCACAGCAAACCAGCAGTTTAAAAAAAAAATTATTCACCAAATGTGGGCATCACTGGCCAGGCCAGCATTTATTATGCATCCTTTATTGCACAGAGAGTAGTTAAGTGTCAACCACATTGCTGTGGGTCTGGAGAAACATGTAGGCCAGACCAGGTCAGGATGGCAGTCTCCATCCCTAAAATACATCAGTGATAATTTAGTAGATTTGTCTGTGAGAATCAAGGGCAGTTTAACAAGTTGCAACTGTAATTTATCTCCATGGTAAAGAATTTCATATCTTCTGACCAATTTCGTGTTTGACCACTGTGAAATAAGAGTACAACATTGACCAAAGACAAGCTCTGTCTCACCTGGTGAGATATGACTACATTAGACGGACTACACTCATCGCTGCCTCATTTTCCTCTTACCTCAAGGCATCTTTAGGCCACATTGTTACCTCAGGGCTGTCAGCCAATGATAGCCCTTTCACTTGATTGTTTAGGTCATCGGATTTTCTTGGACATTCAAACATCTTCTGAGCATAACAAATCAGAAAAGGCAGCACGTCACAGATTTCCTGTCTGAGTGCGTAAGTTTCTTCAGCCATCCAAGCACCCAGGATTCGGACTGATGCATACAGAAATGGATCCCACAGCTGTTCCTCTGTAACCTATAGCAGAGGAAGTAAACAAGTGTAAACTGAAGCAAATAAATTTATTCAGTATATGGTGTAAATATCTTTAAGAATTCCATGGTGAAAGGACCAGAGGGCACACAATTTTTTTCATGTTAGAGCTGAGATACAAAGTTTCGAAGTATAATATTGCAACAAAGAGTCTGGTTGACGCCGACAGTGCTGAATTTTTGAAAAAAAAAGTCTGAATCCTTGTTTCTCAAAGCAAGGATAAACAGACTCCCGTGATGAAGCACCACTGAATCTTGAATCATAAAAGAAATGTATTTTTCCTTGTTGTAAGGGAATGAATTTGGGGAGAATATTCAAATACAGCAATTACGAGGTCTGCATTTCGATACAAAAATTCGCAGCAAACCACTGTCTGTCTGCACCACCATACTTATCTGATGGAAATTCTGTTTCCCACTGGCACTTCCTACTTATTGTTCTTGGTCATAGTCTTTAGATCAATTCAAGAGTTTGACTGCAATTAAGGTCAATTGGACTGTCCCAAATGTACTCCACACTGTTCCAAATGAATTTGTGGCTGATCATTTCTGCACTCCAACAAGGAGTTACCAAATACAATAGCGTGGCTGCTAAGGAACTCATTCCAATCTGGCTGAGGTCAAGAACTTAAAAGCTAGACAGTACGTGCATTCACAGTTGCAGTGTGTGACAACCTGATAGCACATTAATTCTTACAAATTCAAACAGCAGGAAAAATTTATATAATACAAAATACACCTACAGATTGAAAATAAATACCCAAAGGACTCTTGTGAAGTGGTAGTGCCCTCATCTCTGAACCAGGAGGTCAGCATTCAAGTCCCACCAGCTCCAGAGGTGTGTAATTAACAATGCTTTAACAGGTTGTTTACTAAATATTCAGAACAGTCTTCTGAACCATTGGTTATTTTCACAAACATATATGATTACTTTCATCCCTTCCATCAGCTCTAAGCTTTTCATTGTGAACAACATTTAACGAGCTGGTTTCATTACTGTTTTGCCTTCAGACAATATTTTCAGAACATCGGGACTGCAGCATTATCCAAAATGCCATAACCTGCAGGACTATGAATCAAATTTTAAAAGGAAGATCAGTTGGTCTTTCACCTGGCGCACACATGATGGGTGAGGGGCCTCTTTCTGTGCTGGAAAACTCCTATGATTCAAAGACTACAGTGAAAGTTTCACAGAAAATTCAAAAGTATAGCAAAACACGTTCAGACAAAAATGGAGTTACAAGAAATTATAGTTAGGCAAATTACTCTAATGATAAACATACTTCCATATTTTACCTGCTTAAAATAGCCAATAACTGCTCCGAAAGCCTCAACCATTATCTGCACCAATTGGCTACTTTCAGTTTCTGTAAGGCAGACTTTTTCCCCAAGCACACAAACCATCATTCCAAACTCAATGATACTGTAACATGCTGTGATGACATCCGGTTTAAAGTGAGGTGCATTCAGATTTGGGTCCTCCAAACAAATTCGAACTTCTACACAGGCGAGATTCACCATTAATGCTAAGAATTTACGGTTTGCTTCAGAATTTTCTGCCAAGATCCAGTCTGAGCCATAAACAGTTAATAACAAGCCAGCAAGTTTCAGGGCAGGGTCTCGTTGTGAGCTATTCAGTTTACTGCGGAGTATGCTGAACAGACCAGTATGAAGATTCTTCAAGCACTCAATGAGAGATGGATCCTCAGTTAGGATAGGTACAGCAGGTAGAAAATGCTGCAATACACTGCATAATTCAAATTTCTGGTGATCTTCTTCTGTAGCAAACTGTTCACTGAGTTTGTTCAGTACTTTCAAGAGGTCTGGCTTACAAGATTTCCAACATTTGTTTTCCATCGTGTTCAGCAGACCGATTAGAAGACATAGAGCCTGCACGTGGCCATGACTTTGATTTAGATAAACCTGACATAATGCAGACACTGTTCCTTCAGCTACTAGATGTCGCTGACCCTGAGGGTGGGCAGAAATTGCTTGGAGACACTGGAAGGAGTCATCAATCATTGATGTAAATGTGGCAATATCTGTTCCTGCATCGACTTCTGAACAAATAATTTCATTGAAAATAGATATTTTGTTGAGGATTTGCGGGTGAATAACCAAATCTGGATTTGTGGAAAAACATGCAAGCAGGGTCATGCCAAGAGCGCGGAAAATTTGACTGGGGCAACCATGCGGAGATTCTTTGGTAACAAGTAGTCGATTTGGGAAAGAGAATCCAATTGCATCAAAGATCCGTCGACGGGCCGCAGCATCTATTTCACCAGCCTTCACCACCTTGGTCACCTAAAATAAACACACTTTATTCAATGTATTGTCAAATGTTTATGTTCTTGTAGAAACTGTCAGGAAGGGTTTTTAAGCTGTTTTGTTTAGTGATTTTTTTTTCCACTTTTGTTTTAAATGGAATAAAGATCATAAGATCTTGAGATAGGCTGAATAGTCTACTCCACAATACAACAAAATCACAATTAAACTGACTGTGGCTTTAATTTCATTTTCCTGCCATCTCTTCATGATCCTGAACTCCCTTGTTGATCAAAACTAACTATGCCTTGACGATATGCAGTGATGCAGTTTATACTGCACTGTGCCTTTAACACAGTGTCATTGAACAATTTGAGCCATCTATTCCTTCATTCATGTCACTGATTTTTATGGTAAAACGTGGAGCCTCCAAAGCGGATTCTCATTATCCATACTTTTGGTTTTCTATTTCCAAACAATTGCCAATCCATATAAGAAAGTTCATTAATTCTGTTTGCTTTTATTTTTGCCAACAATGTGTGGATAAATACATGTTCCTTGATAGTTATGCAAACTCAAAGTGAAATTAAGTTTACTTCTGTACATTCAAAGTTGAGAGGAAAGAATTCAACATTTTTTATTTTACATGCTCATCAGGTGTGGAGGAAAGCTCTGATCATTTCGCATAAAAATTTAACTTTTAAACTTAAAACCACAGGAACACTTCAAATTATAACATTTTCCACCTACACATGCTGCACAAGGTTTCACTGAGTAAATCCGCCAGATAACTGTACATAGAACTGTACAGCACAGAAACAGGCCTTTCGGCCCACGATTTGGGACCAAACATGAAGCCAAATTAAACTAACTGCTTCTGCCTGCCGTTGGTCCATAACCCTCCGTTCCTTGCACATTCATGTGAGTGCTTCACTTACTCACACAAGACAATTGTGGATATCCAGAACTTCCAGCAGAAAGCTTAAATCAAGTCAATCAAAAATTGCAAAATTAAAATGACAGATTTTTGTTAGATAAAGGATATTAAAAGGTTATGTAACCAAGTAAGATAGAGTTAAGATATGGATCAAGCAGAGAAAGTTTGATGGTAGAACGCCTTGCTTCTTCTCCTATGTTCTCATTTTTTATACGTTATGAACACCAAGCTATAAAACATTCACATTTATAAATAAGTGAATATTTTCTGCCTGTACTTTGATTACGATCGCTCAAAGTTGACTCAACTGTGTACTACATCTATTACAGCTGTCAATAACAGTCACTTCAAATTGAATTGTTATTTTTTTGAAAACCACATGCTAATTTTAGATATTCTTTCCTCAGCCATGACCACTTGATCAAAGTTATCAAATAAATTGCAAATATGGAAAATTAACTGCTTGATGAGTGGCAATTCACAGCCGAAAAAAATACTGTAATTTAGTTACATGAAAATTAAAAGTCATGAATGGTCAAGTGAGGGTGTAATCTAGAGACAGTGTTAATTCGATCAAAAAAAATGTACAGTATATCTGTACTTAGCAGCAAAACCTCTTACCAGTAGAAGAGCTGCAAACTGCTCGCTATCATTTTTTGCATCTTGTAGGACCTGAAGACATCGGCCCAATGTCTTGTTCCTAGCCAAATCTTCAGTTCCACATAGATTTTCTGAATTTGATGCCATTAGAGTAATTGTAACTGCAATAAAATATTTAACAAACTCTGAACAAAATGATTTCACCGAAATGACGAGTTCCTATAAAGAAGTCCTGACTTTGCTCATGGAGACAATTTTCACAGCTTGACAAAAGCACTTAAGTACTTGGGTAAGTGAAAAAATGACAACTTCAACTGAAACTAGTCCTGCAGTAAAAACAAAATACTGTGGATGCTTTAGTATGTTCTTATCCAGATACATTTTAATTCAAAATATTGCTGGTTCCTGGGCAGGCGAAAAGACATTACAGAAACCTTTAAGCGATGTGGCAGCATTTATAAACATCTCAATAGATTACTTGAATATTAGTCTAATAGTCTGTTAAAAGGTACAAAATTAATTCATTTGGAGAAGTATTATTCAAGAGTGGGTTGAGTGAAGATCAAATACTTACACTCTAAAAAATGTCCTATTACAGAACACAATTTTGCATGGTAACAAAAACTAAAACCAAACTGAACCAAGCAAAGTCAGCATTTACTGCCCCATCCAGAAGTGCCCTGGAGAAGGTGATGCTGAGCTGCCTTCATGAACTGCTATAGCCCATGGGTGTAGGGACAACAACAGTGCTGTTTAAGGAAGGGAATTCAGGATTTTGACTAGCAACAGTGAAGTGATATAGTTAAAAGTCAGGATGGTGTACAGCTTGGAAGGAATTGCTGGTGCTCACTTTTGTCTGCTGCCTGTGTCCTTCTGAACGGTTGTCATCATGGGTTTAGAAGGTGTTGGTGCAGGAGCATAGCAAGTTAGTGGATAGGCTGTCAATCAAGCTGCCCGTTGGTATTGAGCTCCTCAAGTATTACTGGAGCTACTATCATCCAGGCACGTGTACGGTATTCCATTAGACTCCTAATTTGCACCTTGTAGATGGAGGACAGATTTTGGAGAGTCAGGTGGTTGTTACTTGCCAGAGTTCTGAACTTCCAATTTGCTCTTATAGTCAAAGTATTTATATAGGTCTGATACAATTCAGTTCCTGGTTAATGGTAAACCCAGAACTGCTGACAGTGGGGGATTCTGGAATTACATTGCCATTAAAAATCAAAGGGAAACAGTCAGATTTCCTCACGGTGGATTCAATTTCTGAGGACTCATGATCAAAGTCTTCAAGATATTAACAGGAAAAGACAGGGTAGATGAAGAAACTATTTGCACTGGGTAGGAATTCTGGAACGAGGGGGCATTTTGAGAATTAAGCACAGACCATTCAGGGGAGTTGTTAGAAGGCAATTTTATACAAAGATTAGATGTTTGGAACTGTTGTGGTCTTCTGGCTCTCTCCGTCTGTCCCTCTCACACTGTCCTGCTCTCTCTGTCCTTCTCACACTGTCCTGCTCTCTCTATCCCTCTATCCATCACAAATAGATCAGTCGTTAACTTTAAACCTGAAATAGTTTTTTTATTAAGTAAAGGTATTAAGGGATATGGGCCAAAGTCAGGCATATAGAGTTCAATCACAGACCAGCCAAGATATCACTGAATGACAGAATAGGCTTGAGAAGGTGAATGGCTTACTCCCATTCCTATGAATCATGAATGGCACTGAACGTTGTGCAATAATCAGCAAATATGTCCAAACTTATGATGGAAGGAAGTTATTGATGAAACAGTTGACGATTGTTGGGGCAAGGGCACTATCTAGAGGAAGCTGTGCAGAGATGTCCTGAGCCCGAGAAGATTTCTAAGTATGTTACTTTTTAAAAGTGATAAAAGAAGGAAAAAAAAAATCATCCTGTGGTAAAAGTTCTACAAGTATTGTTAGTGTTTGGCACTTAAGAGACTTTTCAGCTCATGAAAGTGAGGGATGCTCATGCTATCGATCTCCACTAGCAAACTATTTCCTAAACACTGATTCCATCCAACTCCATTAAAAGTACCTGAAACTGAACAACGCCATTCGCAATCTTGTAATCAAAACTGACACCAAGACGAGCTTCCGACCACATATCCTTTCCATCACCAAAACTAACTCTTCCACCTTGCATAAAATAAAATCTCTACTGTATTCTAAACTGAACCAAGTCATTTCCATCCAACAAATTGCACTTAGTGACCTACCGTAGCATCTGATCCAGCTATGCTTTGTTTTAATGATCACATCCTTGTTTTCAAATCCCTCATGACCTCTCCCCCGCATATCTCTAATCTCCACCAAACCTGCAAGATTTCTATATTCAAATCTGGGCTGTTGTGCATCTCAGCTTTTAGTCACACCATCATTGGTGATGTGCCTACATCTGTCTCAGTCCCGGCTCTGGAATTCCCTACCTAAGCTTTTCACCCTCTCTCCCATTAATGGTGCCAATTAAATTCTTCCTTTTTGAAGAAACTCTCGATTATTTGCCCAAAAAGCATCTTGTGACTGTGTAAAAACCGAAAGAACTGCGGATGCTGTAAATCAGGAACAAAAAAACAAAAGTTGCTGGAAAAGCTCAGCAGGTCTGAGGAAGGGTCACTGGACCCGAAACATTAACTCTTTTTTCCTTCACAGATGTGCGAGACCTGCTGAGCTTCTCCAGCAACTTTGTATTTGTTCTTGTGACTATGTGTCTATCTTTGTTTGGCAAAACTGCTGCGAAACACAGTGTTATTCATGGTGCTAAATAATTGCAATATATTGATGCTGCTCAAGAATGAAATGCTTTCCATTTCAGATACAAGATCAGAATAGGAGTGAAGCTTTTACTACCCCAATTCCAGCTGATAATGCTTTCAGCTTGATATAAAATACCTGTATTCAAATAAATTCACTTTTCCTCACCATGGCAGCTTGCAAAAAAAAAAATCTGCCAAGCAGGAGGCAAAGTGGGTTAGAAATTCTGAAGTATCTTGTTTATCGCCAAGTACCTAAGACTTTTGAGTCTTCCAATTTGTTCACAAGGACACTTGTGACAACTGTTCACAATTTCAAGACTGTATACTGCTAAAAGGTTCTCCTTGATCAAAGTTGTAAGATATATCACACAATGGATGCAAAGCTCAATTACAGCGAACTTCCATATGCCAGAACTAGAGGATTTGATCGAATATATTACAAAGGAAATAACAAGGTTTTTTTTAAAAAAAGCTATTAGCATAAACAATCCACATATCAAAATAACGTACAAATTTTATAAAGGTTTACAATTTTACTTCTCAAATTAAAGTGATTAAATTTATGGATAACTCTTTCTCACTTGACACATTCTTGTCAGAAAAACATACACAGGATACATTTCACGCGTGTTAGCAGGCTTCCATTAATTTGCATTTGAGCCTTGCTATTAATACAAAGTTCCAGAAAAGGTGTCGTGGTGGTGGCGGTATGGGGTGGGGACAGGTAGAGTATGTGGAAGGGTCCGCAAAAAAAATTCAATAAAAAAAGGACAACTTGCTTTTTAAAAATCGATATTAGTTACCCAGGAACATGCAGCAGTAAACTGATATACAACATGATCCCACAAACAGGAGTAGGAAGGAGCAGCTAATTAACTTCTTCTTGACGATATCCGGGTAGGGAGAATTCAATGTGGTTTGAACATTCAATCTTGAGTTTTCCGCCGCCGCCCCCCCGAAACAGCCAAACGAGGCCTGAATCCAAATCGGCACCAGACTGCAAGCGAAATCAAGCTCAAGACCCAAGGCAGCACGCGTGATGGCAAAATCGGCGCAAGGCCAGACATTTAATGCGAGCTCTCGAATTGTCGCAACAACTTTCATTCGGAAGTGGGTACCGCTTGATAAAGCGCTGCGCCATGAACCAACAGACACAACTCAAAACGTTCACCATGTTTTCACTCACCTGCAACCCCCTCCCCCTCTACCCCCCTACAAACGACAGCCGGGTTACAGTGACCTCTCACCCCGACCCTCGCCACGCCCTCTGTGCGTGTGCCGCGGTCCGGACCAATAGAAACACAACGCATCCCCAAACAACTGTCATAGAAGCTGGAAAGCTGACGTTTCGGGCCTAGACCCTTCATCAGAAAAGGGGGGTTCTGAAATAAATAGGGAGAGGGGGAGGTGGATAGAAGATGGATAGAGGAGAAGAAACAGACAGGTCAAAGAGGCGGGAATGGAGCCAGTAAAGGTGAGTGTAGGTGCGGAGGTAGGGAGGACGGACAGGTCAAGGGGGCGGGATGAGGTTCGTCGGTAGGAAATGGGGGTGCGGCTTGAGGTGGGAGGAAGAACAGGTTAGGGAGGCGGGGACGAGCTGGGCTGGTTTTGGGATGCGGGGGGAAGGGAGATTTTGAAGCTTGTGAAATCCCACCCACCTTCCTGCAAAAATGCCATCCCCTATTCCCAATTCCTTCACCTCCGCTGCATCTGCTCCCAGGATGAGGCATTCCACTCCCGTACATCTCAGATGTCCTCGTTTTTCAAGGACCGCAACTCCCCCCGCACCACCGCCCCCCCCCCCCCCAAGTAGTCGAGAACGCCCTCCACCGTGTCTCCTGCATTTCCCGCAACTCATCCCTCACACCCCGTCCCTGCAATAATAACCAAAAAAGAATCCCCCTTGTCCTCACGTACCACCCCACCAACCTCCGGATCCAATGCATCATCCTCTGACACTTCCGCCATCTGCAATCCAACCCCACCACCAAAGACATTTTTCCCTCCCCACCCTTATCTGCTTTCCAGAGGCACCACTCTCTCCGTGAGTCCCTTGTCCGCTCCACACTCCCCTCCAGCCCCACCACACCCAGCACTTTTCCCTGCAACCGCAGGAAGTGCGACACCTGCCCCCACACCGCCTCCCTCACCCTCATCCCAGGCCCCAAGAAGACTTTCCACATCAAGCAGATGTTCACCTGCACATCTGCCAATGTGATATACTGCACCCGCTGTGGCCTCCTCTACATCGGGGAAACCAAGCAGAGGCTTGGGGACCGCTTTGCAGAACACCTACGCTCGATTCGCAATAAACAACTGCACCTCCCAGTCGCAAACCATTTCAACTCCCCCTCCCATTCCTCAGATGACATATCCATCCTGGGCCTCCTGCAGTGCCACAATGATACCACCCGAAGGTTGCAGGAACAGCAACTCATATTCCGCTTGGGAACCTTGCAGCCCAATGGTATCAATGCAGATTTCACAAGCTTCAAAATCTCCCCTCCCCCTACCACATCCCAAAACCAGTCTAGCTCGTTCCCACCTCCCTAACCTGTTCTTCCTCCCACCTATTCCCTCCTCCCATCCCTATTTCCTACCTACTAACCTCATCCCTCCCCCTTGACCGGTCCATCCTCCCTGGACTGACCTATCTCCTCCCTACCTCCCCACCTACACTCACCTTTACTGGCTCCATCCCCGCCTCTTCAACCTGTCTGTTTCCTCTCCACCTATCTTCTCCTCTATCCCTCTTCTATCCGCCTCTCCCTATTTATTTCAGAACCCCCATCCCCTCCCTCATTTCTGATGAAGGGTCCAGGCCCAAAATGTCAGCCTTTCTGCTCCTCTGATGCTGCTTGGCCTGCTGTGTTCATCCAGCTCTGCACCTTGTTATCTCAGATTTTCCAGCATCTGCAGTTCCTATTATCCCTCCCAAACAACTGTCGCTAGGCGCCGGGGGGACCAATCAGGAGCGAGGCCCCGCCCCCATCCTGTCGGAATGTCACGTGGGTTTCCCTCCATCCTGACATTGCTATCGGAGTTCCCAACTCGAACGCACTGCGGCGCTGGAGATTCTGACTGTCCACGGCGTCTGCAACTGAAATATTGTCTCTTTGCACCGGGAAATGCAAATTCTTCATTCCTGAAGTAGTCAAATGGTTCGTTTTGTATCAGCTGCCATAATTCCTGACACCGTGTTGGTTCGGAACCAGAGTTCTCGGTTTTTGTTTCCGCGGGACGGCTTCCCCTGGACACCTGTTTATGTGCGGACGCATCTCGTCCTCTCACGGGGTTTCTGTGTGTGAAGAGGGGTTTGATCCCACGTCGGCGGGTGTTTTCCTGGCTGGCTGTTAACTGCGGGATTGTCGATATGGGTCACTGATGGGCGGAAAAGATTTATTGTTTAAAGATTGTGATGGGGGGGGGGGGGGGAAAAAGTCGATCAGCGGAAGTGACGAAAGGTGTGTTTGAGAAGCTCGAGTGTAGGAGACACCGTCACCGGGAATCGGGAGAGAAGTAGGGGGAGACCCGGGGAAAGAGAAAAGGAGAGCCGTGGGGGGGGGGGGGAGAGGAAGGGGAGGGGGACCCGGGGGGAAGGGCAGCAAGGGAGAGAAGGAGACCCGGGGGTTGAGGGAGGCAGCGAGGGAGACCCAAGGGGAAAAAGAGAGATCGGCGGGCGGGTGAAGACAGACTGGTGCAGAGCGAGAGAAGGAGAGAGACCCGGGGAGAGAGGGAGGGAAAGAGCAGCTGGGGGAAAGGTTGGTAGTGGTGAGAGAGGGTAGATACACTGGGTTGGGGGTGGGGGTGGGGGGAAGGCTGGGAGACCTGATCGAGGATCAGAGGAGGACACTGGGGAGACCTGGAGAAGGGAGGAATGTAGTGAGAGAAAAGACATGGGACAGAAGTGTGCAAGAGTCCCTGAACTGTGAGCTCAGGGTCGGGATCCAGGTTAGGACCACTTCCCAGGTAGTAAACCGCATAAATGTGCCGACCTGACAGGGATGGATATCGTTCCAACAAGGCGGAAGCTGAAACGGTGTTTGTGGACCCCGAACAGCAGGTGCACCCCTCATACTGACGCGTTTGATTTGTTTTAAAGATATTCTTTTCATACACATCAGAAGCACCAGGCTGAAGGTCTCACACTTTACTGACGAATTGATAAACTCGCCCTCCTTCAGTTGGAATTGGCCATATGGTAAATGGAGATTTCCTCCGATTTCAACTGGAAGTTGATAGCGACCAAATAAGACTTTGCAGTTGGAAAGTCTCAAGATCATTTATTGGGTTTGTTTATGTTGTGACAATAGATTCAGATAGTTGTAACTTAAAGCCTGAAACATTTGAGAAGGCTTGGGCGCTTTTGAGTTTGCTACGTATTATAAGATGTATGCAATTACCAGGTGACGAAATACCTTGTATAAACTACATGCAATGACACATTTATCTTTTGAAAATGTACCGCGTTTCATTTCCACATAAATCCCATTGATATTTGCTACGGTAACTGTTGGCCGACCCGATCTACATGCAGTTCTCGTGTTTTTGAGTGGCGTTGATTGTTAAACAGCCGCATCTTTTGTACGAAATAGGTGGCAGTTATGACAAAGTAATACTCTTTCTACCGTATTAGAAGATGAGGATGAATGAATTACTGATATTCTGGAGTGGCATATAAATTTGCAGCGTCTGACTGAGGCGAGATGACATGAGGCAATGTCGTCATATATATATGACAATATAAGTTTTTTTTAAATTAAATCTGACTGATTACATTGTGGTTATTGCATAAACGTATGTCAAGTTATTTTCAAACAGTTGATGGCTAAGATTGATTTGAAAGAGGCTTAGGTGATTTCCTTAGTTTGTCTATAGTTTGAATGGATGAATAATGTAAAGTAACAGTTTTTGATGTAGATGTTTTGTATGAGCTCTCATGTTTAACCAATCAATCAACATAAAATGAGCTATCAACATGGAATTTGAGTATCAATTCCTATAGCAATTCTGCAAAGGATTACAGACGGGAGGCAAAGAGCACTTTGCATAATAGTTAACTACTTAAATTGTTTTGATATGCAACATTTTGCAGTGTCTCAAAGTAGGTAATACAAACTACTTAAAATTATTCATGACATTATTATGCTTTGTTGACTTTTTGTGAAGCAAACCGGTAACATAGGTAGTGATCCATGATGAGGTTCAGTCATGAACAGAAAGTCTTTAATAGTTATGTTTAGTAGTTAATTGGAAGTACGATGTGTATGCTTGGCAAGTTTTAACAATATTATATATAAATAAATATAGAATAAATGTTTAACTTGAATGCTAATTTGTACACCAAGTGCTTAGCATTTATTTTTCTATTGACTCTAATTCCATGTAAACACCTTTGGGAAATTCACTATGTAAGTTTACTGCATTAATAAAATGTTTTAATCTTTAAATTGTAAAGATTGAAACTCTGAGCTTTTTGCATCATATTTGTTTTCCTATAGATGTTCATTGCTGCTGTAGGGTTGCATGTTATCCACATAATGCACATATGAAAAAAAAAATAAACCTGGGGTATTAGTTTGAAACTTAAAATATATTGTAGATTGTCTGCAGCCCTAACTCTTTCTGATTTGGTAACAGGTTAAGTTTCACCACTTTTCACCAAATTTCAGTGCAAGTGTAAAAGTGGCTGAAGTTTAACTCTGTTCAGCTAATCTTGAGTAGTCTGATTAATGAGGATTTGGTATAGTACTTTAGTGGCATTTACAATGTGAATTACAGTAGGATTATAAGATTTTAGTGTTTTAAAACTGTAAGATACCCAAAAGGCACAATACTTTTGTAGCACAACTCATTAATTCTTAACTCCTACAAAAAATGATGTATTTCAGCCTGTCGAATCCTCAGTGAGACATGCCAAATGAATGTTAGATGCTCGCTCTGAACTGCTGCTTTGTCAGGGAAATAAAAAGCAATTTTTAAAAATTATTATTATTATAGGATGAGGGTGTCGCTGTCTAAGCCAGCACTTATTGCCTATCCCTACTTACCCAGAGGGCAGTTGAGAGTCAACCTCATTGCTGTGGGTCTGGAGTCACATGTAGGCCAGAACAGGCAGTTCCCTTCCCTCAAGGACATTAGGTAATCAGATGGGTTTTTCTGACAATTGACAA